CAGCGATGAGCTGCAGGCTGCCCTGCAAGGCCTGCAGGCACAGATGGCCCCGAGCCTGCACAGCCACCTGCCCCTGGGACACGGCCCGGCAGGTAGGCGGTGGGTCCTTGGAGGTGGTGCGTCTGTTGGGAGGTGGTGGGTCACGTGCTCCTGCCCCGGGGATGGGGCAGTGGGCCAGCCCGCTGCGCAGGGGTCACAAGTCCTACGGACCACTTGTGTGGGAGAAGGGTCCTATCTGAGGCCAGGGGTTTAGGTGTCCCAGAGCCCCAAGAGAGAGGGAGGAGGATGAAGGTCCTACTGCTTGGACAGAGTAAGTGGCGAAGGTTACGATGAACTTGCTGTGACCTCAGGGCAGGCGTGTCCCCTGTGAGCCTCCTAAGGCAGCAGGGACAGAAGGAGATGCCCCTGGGGAGGGTCATCTGGGGAGGGGAGCAGAGAGCGTGCTGGGGGTGATGGGGACGGCCTCTGATGGCTCTGACAAGGGCAGCCCATGTCAGCTGTCCTCGGGGCCTCCGAGGGAAGCTGGGTGGGTCTTCTGTGCACCGGGCCTCTAAGGGAGGCCCTCACCTGCACCTGCAGCCGTGGACTCTGCTGGGCCCCGAGCCACAGCCCTGCTCCTCAGCCAGGGGTGGTTGGCGTGAGGCTGCTGTCATCGCGTTCCTCAATGAGTGTCAGCGGCCCATGTGGCCACAGGGAAGGGGTCGATGGTCTTTATCCCTCGACGGGCCTGAGCTGCGAGTGTGTGGCCCTTGTTGAGAGCCAGGACCTGCGCCCCGGGTGCGGTGGCCGGAAGGCTCTGGGTCGTAGCGCCGGAGGGAGCCCTGAGCTTCATGTTGGTGCAGATGCAGCCAGAGCGCTCTCCCAACTGGAGCCTTTTCTCTTCCCCTCGCCCCCATCTGGCCGCAGAGCGTCTATCAGCCCCTTCTAAGGAGGAGGGGCGGTCAGGACAGCAGTGCTGTGGTGCAGGGGTCACGTGGGTGGTGGAGCCCGGACTGGCCGTGCATCCAACCGGGTCCACTCCTGACCCATGAGGCAGCTTGCTGTTGTCAGGGCGATGGGATGGTCTCTTTCCTCAGATGCTTATCCCAAGTTCTCTCGGCCAGATGTTGCCAAGTCCCTGTTTTTCATGGAAAACATTTCGGGAATTGAAAAGAGCAGGCAAGAGGTCAGCATGTGTCTGCTCCCTTCACTTTCCAGCCCATCAACCGGCATGGATGAAACCCCAGCCGTGGCCACACGCACATTCTGAATCAAGCCTTGAGTGTGCCCCCACCATGCATGGTGTGGGGGACACCTGGGCCCAGGATTCCTGGCCATGCTGTTGGTCCACAGGCACCTCTTTGCAACAAGCTGTAACGATGGGTGATGTTGTTGGTGGGGAGGATATTTGGGACCAGATGTAGCTCCCACTCCCTCCCTATGATCCGTCGGAGCCTCAGTCCACGACAGCTTAGTTTGCGTGACATTTTCCTTGAGACCCCTCATGCTTTATGTGATGTAACAGTGAGCAGCGAGGGCCTCTGAAAAAAGGAGGAAGCTAAAATAAAGCTGGAAGACATGGCTTTGTCACGTCTCGTCCTGAAGTGCTGTCTGAGCCCTGGTCATGTTTTCCTGTTGTCCCCGCCCCTCTGTGTGCCTGCCGTGGTCAAAGGGGTAGGCATGTACCCCATAGAGCCTGAGAGATCTGGCAGGAGGCCTCCTCGTTTCTACGTTTGAGTGACCTGTGTTCTGGCAGACTCGAAATGCTGACCTGTGAAAGTGCCAAATTTGAGAACTTGGCAGAGCAGACAGTCCCTGGCCCGTGGCCTCTGAGCACCAGTGCCGCCTTCCTCTTGCAGAAAGGGCCCACAGAAGGCGGTGCTTCCTGCAGGGTCGGCTTGGAGGTTGGATCAGATCCCGTGGTGTCCTGGGTAGAACATAATGGACATGTCCTCTTATTTTCAGGCACCATCACGTTCGTGGGTGATTCCGCCCCAGCGAGTATAGAAACAGAGATCATGTTGGAGCAGCTGAAGGAGCGTTACCAAGAACTCAGGATCCAGCTGGAGACCCAGGTGAGGGGACTGAGGGAGGCCACAGAGGTCGGGGAACTTCCTGCTGCTGAGACGCGTCTGCGCACACGTGTGCCCATAGTGAGCGCACTCGGGGGGACGGAGGTTTGCAGGGAATGTGCGTGACCTTGACTTTCCGCCTCCACCCTCTTCGGAAGGAGGCAGTTCAGAAGGAATAGCTAATAACGGGAGGGAACAGAGTCCTTCCCCGTGTCCGGAGGCTGGTGCAGAGGCCAGAACTCCCTGTTTGCCCTGCACTGGGAAGTCACAGCCCCCGGCTCTGTTGCAGCTGAAGCAGATTCTGGGAGCAGAATCTTAGTTCCTGCGATTGCCCTTCGCCAGGGGCTCCCCAGGTGGCACTTGTGGAGATGAGGAGCTTGTTGCCAAGACAGGAGACATAAAAGATGCGGGTTCGATCCCTGAGTCGGGAAGATCCCCTGGAGGCGAGCGTGGCAACCACTCCAGCCTTCTTCCCTGGAGAATCCCGTGGACAACGGAGCCTGGTGGGCTACAGTCCACAGGGTCGCAGAGAGTCAGACACGACTGCAGCGACTCGGCACGCAGGGGCTCCTCGGCCTCCCTGGCCAAGCCTGTCTTCTCGGGTGAATGTGCCTCTTGCTCTGTTACTCGATTGGGGGGGGTTTGTGGAGGGATGGTGCCCACGGCTCATGAGGGGTCACCATGGCCATGGGGCGGTCCTGCCCCTGGGTGCCTGCTGTGGCCTTGCCTTCCAGGCCTCGTGGAGGTGTTCCCTCCTGCCCTCTTCCTGCGGCTGCCTGCCGGGCCACCAGCCTCCCTTCTGCACCTGCAGGGCCTGCCCCCGAGGCTGCAGCGGAGGTTACAGGAAGTGACGGAAGCAGGCGGCCACACAAGCCGTGGGGGGCCTTTCACAGACCCCGGCGCCCTGTTGAAGCCGGGCCACCTGCTGTTTTGGTGCTGCCCCGGCAGCCTTGACTCATCAAGTGGACGGTGTCTGGGGGCCCCGGTCGACGTCACTCCTCCTCTCTCTTCAGGTTAGTGACCACGAGAGGGAGATGGAGGTGATGAAAAGGGCCTTTGCAGAGGAGAGGAGGCAGCTGGAGCAGGGCTTCCAGGTCAAGGTTGGCGTGCTCCAGGGTCAGAAGGCCGAGCTGGCGACGCTGCACGCGGAGTCACAGGAGGTGGTCCGAGGCCTGCGGGAGCAGCTGCAGACGAGGGCGGAGCTGTAGCGGGGCCGCACGTGGCGGCTGAGCCAGGAGAGGACACGGCTGCAAGAGGCGCTTCAGCGGCTCAGGTCCACCACCCTGCCTTGCGGGATCTCAGGTCCAAGGTTCATTGCCCAGAACCCAGATTTGAAATTGAATTTGGTCAGATTGCTCAGAGTCACAAGTACTTGTTACCTGAGTGGTGAGCCCTGAAAGAACAGGTTATTTTACAAAGGTTCTGAGTTTTCTTTCTGCCGCACTGTGCGCATGGCATGAGAGAGCTTAGTTCCCTCACCAGGGATTGAACTTGTGCCCTTGTGATGGACGCAGGGAGCCTTCACCACTGGACTTCCAGGGATGTCCCAAAGAGTCTGACTTTAAAAATACACAGTCCCTCATCTGTCATCTCATGACTCCTGGGGAGGTGGATAAAAGGCCTAAATGCCCCCAAATAATGGGAAAGGCCTTTACTTTGGGTTCATGGAGTCTTGAAAGAAACAGATTTGTGAGCAAAGGAGAGAAAAGGTTTGCTTGGAGAACTGGAGCATGATCTTCTGTGCTAGAGAAGGGCCCACACGCCCATCCTCTGGGCCCCACCAGGGAGCTGGGGGCTAGGGAGGCCTGAGGGAAGGCTGGGGGTGGGGAGGCCTCTGTGAGCCGGTGATGGGACCGCTCAGGTGTGCAGCCTGGCCCTCCTCCCCGGGCCCCCTGGGGCTCAGGCCGGCACCCACTCCCTCTCAGGAGCCCAGGACTCCAGAAGGGCTTTTCCAGGAGCCTTCCAGCAGCACACAGGGGATGACCCAGGTGACTGCAGGCAGGCACAGCTGTGTGTTGTGGTTGCGGCTCTATGCACTGTGTCTTTTGGCCCTGTGAGCGCCCACACAGCACTCCCGCAAGCTCCCCGCGTCCTGTGGAGACAGAGGCTTCGTGAGGTGTTGTATCCCTTGTCTAGGCAGAGGACACTGGCCCACCGCACATGCAGGTGTGGCCAGGTGAGGTGCTAGCTTCTGCCTGCTAGGTGACCATCGCACGTTGCTTCACTGGTAAACAGATCACGGGGGATTTATGATAAGCCAAGGAATAAATGTCAATAAGCCAAGGAATAAATGTCAGTGCACCTGCAAGCTTGAGAAAGGAAATACTAGCATAGCCAGCAGCCCCAGGCTCTGTTCCCAGGCCCCCCCTCATTTCTCCCCAAGGCATCTGGACTGTTTATCACCATCTAGACCTTGCTCTAGGCCTCTGCCTTAGACGCGGGTGTCTATGCTCATCCCAAGTTCTCTCGGCCAGATGTTGCCGAGTCTGTCCTTGTTTTTCATGGAAAAAAAAAAGAGTTTGCCCAGTGCCAATATCCACAATGGACGATCCATGGGAAGAAGAGTTTGCATAAACCACATGAGAAAAACAATGTGAGAGCCAGGGAGTTCCAGAAGATTTCTTGAAGGCTATAGAGCTTGAGAGCTCTTACTCATGAGTACACCATGTTAACGCATGCATAACAACAAAGAAAAAGGAGGAGGAGGAAGAGGAAAAAAAGATGCTATTCATGTCTTATTTCAGTTCTGTCATTACTGACACTCACTTAAATAACTTTAAAACGGCCAGTAAAGTGTTCTATAAGGGGAATTATAAGCGGGTCCGAAACCAGCTAAGGCTTCTGCAGCCTATCAAGTCTGCGGGGTGCTGGATCCCAGGAAGGTGTCCAAGAGCCTTGGAGGGGAGATTCACAGGAGGGACCCCTGCCAGGCCCTTCCTCCCTGCTTACCTGTTCATCTTGTCCTTGTCATTCAGGCCACTCTTCCCGAGCAACAGGACCTGCTGCACTTTAGCTACGTTGCCTACGCTGGCAGCTTTGTGGATCTTTCTGAGGTCCTTGTCTCGGATGCGGTACCCAGGCTGAAAGCTGATTCTGTGACTGCCGTCTCTCCCCGGGCTGATGGAGGAGCCGAAGGGCGAGATGCCCTTCTTACTCCTGAAGCCAAAGGTCTTCTCCATCACAGAGCCTACAGACTCCAAACACACACCTCACCTCCCCCTCGGCTCTTCAAACCCAACAGGAGCACTAGAGGTAAGCCAGAGCTGTCCGGCCACAACCCCCCAGCTGGGAGGCTCAACGGTTTGGAATCTTTCATCCCAGAATGATCGTTGCTAAGCGACGCTTCTAAACACATTGCCCGTCTGCCACAATGTCCACTGTGCATGCGCAAGAACTGGAAGTGCATTTTTTGTAACAGTATCAATAAACCCATGACTAAGGTAAGAAAGGAGAGGAAACGGAAATAAACACAGAAAGGAAAGCAACATTACAACAGGTACCTTGGAAGTAAAGAAGCATAATCATAAGGGACTATTATTATTGATGAACAATTACAAATTGTTTCATCTAGGAAAACCTAGATGAAATAGATAAATTCTGAGAAACAGAAGACAAGACTAAACAAGAATAGAGAAGACTAAAGTCCCTGACAATTTCCTGACAAAACTAAAACAAGAAAAAATACAATAATAGAAAAACTCAACACTCCAGTAACAAGTAAGGAGATTCAAATATTAATTTAAAAAAAAAAACTCCCCAAAGTTAAAAGCTTAGGGCCAAATGGATTCAAAACTCAATTCTACTAACATTCAAGTAAGAATTAAAAGTAACACTATGCATAAAAACACTTGACAAAATTCAAAATCCACTTATGATAAAAAAAATTCAATAAAATAGAAATTTCCTCAATACACTAAAGGCCATTTATGAAAAGCATGAAAAGTGAAAGTGATGGTCACTCAGTCGTGTCTGACTCTTTGCTATGCCATGGATTATACAGTCCATGGAATTCTCTAGGCCAGAATATTGGAGTGGGCAGCCTTTCCCTTCACCAGGGGACCTTCCCAATCCAGAGACAGAACCTAGGTCTCTCGCAATGCAGGCAGATTCTTTACCAGCTAAGCACCAAGGAGTCCTAAGAATACTGGAGTGGGTAGCTGATCCCTTCTCCAGTGGATCTTCCTGACCCAGGAATCAAACCAGGCTCTCCTGCATTGCAGGTGGATTCTTTACCAACTGAGCTAACAGGGAAGCTAGTCTTGCTTGGGAAAACAGCGTCCGATAGTAGGAAAAGCAGGGACCAAGAGGCTTTGAAGAACATGGCTGCCATCTTCAAAAACAAAGAAGCCCTCTGTCCTGTGACTGATTCATGCTGATGTTTGGCAGAAACTAACAGAATACTGTAAAGCAATTATCCTTCACTTCAAAATCTATTAAGACAAACAAACAAACAAACAACAAAAAATAACCTCTCCCTCAACTATGCTGCCCCCTTCATCTGCAGCCTGAATGGTGCTCAATCCAGAACCAAACACCCTGAAGGAGCTGCCCAGCCCCATGCTCTCCTCCTCGCCACAGCCAACATTCTGCTTCTTCACTCTGTGGAACTGTTCTCCTCTCTGCCACCGGAGTCGAGAGGAGCCGAAATCAAACAGCTTGGCTACAGGTGAAGGGGGAGAGCTCTCAGCACTTAAGGTCATGGGTGCCAGATGGTAAGGTTCAGAGAAAGCTGCCAGTGATGTTAACAGGGTATGAACATCACGTGGTGAGGCCATGAGCTGGATCCTCACTGGAGGGAAGAAGAGATCAAGACCCTCAGTGACTTGTCCATCCCTACAGATGGAAGGGGGTGGGTTGCCGTGCATGCAGTCACAGGCTGTTATCACTTCCCGGTGGGGAGGGGACTCCTGCCCTGTCTGTGTCTGTATGGCTGACACTGTGCTCTGATTAAATGTATCCCAGGTGTGGAGAACAGCTGGAGTGCATGTTCAACCTGCCTCAGCCTGGCTCCCAGGAAAGAGCAATGAGCTTTTCTCTCTTCCCAGGTAGTGGCTGAGGCTGGGAAGAAGCAGGGAACACGCATTGGCTCAAGAGCACATTCTGATCCAAACTCACAGTGTAGCATAAACGTATCATTTCTGATTCTGCAGGACAGGCAACAGTTCAGTCGCTCAGTCGTGTCTGACTCTTTGCGACCCCATGAATTGCAGCACACCAGGCCTCCCTGTCTATCACCAACTCCCAGAGTCTACTCAAACTCATGTCCATTGAGTCGGTGATGCCATCTAGCCATCTCATCCTCTGTTGTCTCCTTCTCCTCCTGCCCCCAATCTCTCCCAGCATCAGGGTCTTTTCCAATGAGTCAACTCTTTGCATGTTGTGACCAAAGTATTTAAGTTTCAGCTTCAGCATCAGTCCTTCCAATGAACACCCAGGACTGATCTCCTTTAGGATGTACTGGTTGGATCGCCTTGCAGTCCAAGGGACTCTCAAGAGTCTTCTCCAACACCACAGTTCAAAAGCATCAATTCTTCGGCACTCAGCTTTCTTCACAGTCCAACTCACATCCATACATGAGCACTGGAAAAACCATAGCCTTGACTAGATGGACCTTTGTTGGCAAAGTAATGTCTCTGCTTTTTAACATGCTATCTAGGTTGGTCATAACTTTTCTTCCAAGGAGTAAGCGTCATTTAATTTCATGGCTGCAGTCACCATGTGCAGTGATTTTGGAACCCCCCCAAATTAAAGTCTGCCACTGTTTCCATTGTGTCCCCATCTATTTTCCATGAAGTGATGGGACCAGATGCCATGATCTTAGTTTTCTGAATGTTGAGCTTTAAGCCAACTTTTTCACTCTCCTCTTTCAGTTTCATCAAGAGGCTGTTTAGTTCCTTTTCACTTTCTGCCATAAGGGTGGTGTCATCTCCATATCTGAGGTTATTGATATTTCTCCCGGCAATCTTGATTCCAGCTCGTGCTTCTTCCAGCCCAGCATTTCTCATGATGTACTCTGCATATAAGTTAAATAAGCAGGGTGACAATATACAGTCTTGATGTACTCCTTTTCCTATTTGGAACCAGTCTGTTGTTCCATATCCAGTTCTAACTGTTGCTTCCTGACCTTCATATAGGTTTCTCAAAAGGCAGGTCAGGTGGTCTACTACTCCCATCTCTTTCAGAATTTTTCATAGTTTATTGTGATCCACACAGTCAAAGGCTTTGGAATAGTCAATAGAGCAGAAATAGATGTTTTTCTGGAACTCTCTTGCTTCTTCAATGATCCAGTGGTTGTTGGCAATTTGGTCTTTGGTTCCTCTGCCTTTTCTAAAACAAGCATGAACGTCTGGAATTTCACGGTTCATGTATTGCCCAAGCCCGGCTTGGAGAATTTTGAGTATTACTTTACTAGCGTGTGAGATGAGTACAATTGTGCAGTAGTTTGAGCATTCTTTGGCATTGCCTTTCTTGGGGATTGGAATGAAAACTGACCTTTTCCAGTCCTGTGGCCACTGCTGAGTTTTCCAAATAGGCTGGCATATTGAGTGCGGCCCTTTCACAGCATCATCTTTCAGGATTTGAAATGGCTCAACTGGAATTCCATCACCTCAACTAGCTTTATTCATAGTGATGCTTTCTAAGGTCCACTTGACTTCACATTCCAGGATGTCTGGCTCTAGGTGAATGATTGCACCATCGTGATTATCTGGGTTGTGAAAATCTTTTTTGTACATTTCTTCTGTGTATTCTTGCCACCTCTTCTTAATATCGTCTTCTTCTGTTAGGTCCATACCATTTCTGTCCTTTATTGAGTCCATCTTTGCATGAGATGTTCCCTTGGTATCTCTAATTTTGTTGAAGAGATCTCTAGTCTCCCATTCTGTTGTTCTCTTCTATTTCTTTGCATTGATCCCTGAGGAAGGCTTTCTTATCTCTCCTGGCTATTCTTTGGAACTCTGCATTCAAATGGGAATATCTTTGCTTTTCTCCTTTGTTTTTCGCTTGTCTTCTTTTTTTTTTTTTTTTTGTTGTTGTTGTTATATTCACTAGTTTGTTGTATTTTTTCTTTTTTTTTTTTTTCCATTTATTTTTATTAGTTGGAGGCTGATTACTTTACATCATTGCAGTGGTTTTTGTCATACATGAAATGGATTAGCCATGGATTTACATGTATTCCCCATCCCGGTCCCCCCTCCCACCTCCCACTCCACCCGAACCCTCTGGGTCTTCCCAGTGCACCAGGCCCAAGCACTTGTCTCATGCACCCAACCTGGGCTGGTGATCTGTTTCACCCTAGATAATATACGTGTTTCGATGCTGTTCTCTTGAAACATCCCACCCTCGCCTTCTCCCAGAGTCCACAAGTCCGTTCTTTCACAGCTATTTGTAAGGCCTCCTCAGACAGCCATTTTGCTTTTTTGCATTTCTTTTTTATGCAGATTGTCTTGATCCCTGTCTCTTGCACAATGTCACAAACCTGCATCCATAGTTCATCAGGTACTCTATCAGATCTAGTCCCTTAAATCTATTTCTCACTTCCACTGTAGAATCCTAAGAGACTTGATTTAGGTCATACCTGAATGGTCTAGTGGTTTTTCCCTACTTTCTTCAATTTAAGTCTGATTGTGGCAATAAGGAATTCATGATCTCACCCACAGTCAGCTCCTGGTCTTGTGTTTGCTGGCTGAGAGGAGCTACCTCACGTCCGAGGTCAGGGAAGGCGGCTGAGAGGAGAAACCCCACGTCCAAGCAGTGGCAGCTTCGCGGGCTCAGGAGGGCCGAGAGGAGCTACTCCACGTTCAAGGTCAGGAGGGGCGGCCATGAGGAGACACCCCTCATCCAAGGTAAGGAGCAGCGGCTGCTCTTTGCAGGAGCAGCCTTGAAGAGATACCCCACGTCCAACGTAAGAGAAACCCAAGTAAGACAGTAGGTGTTGCGAGAGGGCATCAGAGGGCCAATACACTGAAACCATAATCACAGAAAACTAGCCAATCTGATCACAGGACCACAGTCTTGTCTAACTCAACAAAACTAAGCCATGCCGTGTGGGGCCACCCTGGATGGATGGGTCAAGGTGGAGAGGTCTGACAGAATCTGGTCCACTGGAGAGGGGAATGGGAAACCACTTCAGTATTCTTCCATTGAGAACCCCATGAACAGTATGAGAAGCAAAATGATAGGACACTGAAAGAGGAACTCCCCAGGTCAGTAAGTGCCCAATATGCTTCTGGAGATCAATGGAGAAATAACTCCAGAAGGAATGAAAGGATGGAGCCAAAGCACAAACAATACCCAGTTGTGGATGTGACTGGATAGAAGCAAGGTCCGATGCTGCAAAGAACAATATTGCATAGGAACCTCGAATATTAGGTCCATAAATCAAGGCAAATTGGAAGTGGTCAAACAGGAGATGGCAAGAGTGAATGTCAACATTCTAGGAATCAGCGAACTAAAATGGACAGGAATGGGTGGATTTAACTCAGATGACCATTATATCTACTCCTGTGGGCAGGAATCCTTTAGAAGAAATGGAGTAGACATCATGATCAACAAGAGTCCGAAATGCAGTACTTGGATGCACTCTCAAAAACAGAATGATCTCTGTTCGTTTTCAAGGCAAACCATTCAATATCACAGTAATCCAAGCCTATGCCCCAACCAGTAATGCTGAAGAAGCTGAACTCAAATGGTTCTATGAAGACCTACAAGACCTTTTAGGGTGGAGAGGGAGGTGGGAGGGGAGACCGGGATGGGGAATACATGTAAATCCATGGCTAATTCATTTCAATGTATGACAAAAACCACTGCAATGTTGTAAAGTAATTAGCCTCCAACTAATAAAAATAAGTGGGGAAAAAAAAGACATTTTAGAACTAACAGCCATAAAAGATGTCCTTTTCATTCTAGGGGACTGGAATGCAAAAGTAGGAAGTCAAGAAACACCTGGAGTAACAGGCAAATTTGGCCTTGGTGTACAGAATGAAGCAGGGCAAAGGCTAATCGAGTTTTGCCACGAGAACGCACTGGTCATAGCAAACACCCTCTTCCAACAACACACGAGAAGATGCTACACTTGGACATCACCAGATGGTCAACACTGAAATCAGAGAACAGGCAACAGCCAACCTGAAAGGTGGTGAAACTGGCCCAGGTCTGAATCTGGGTGTGTGTGCGGTGGAGAGAGAGGATTCTTTATCACGGACGTGGATGGCCCCTGGTGCTGTTTTCAGCCTGTGAATGAGGCTGAGGGATGGGAGAATTATTTCTCCAGGATCCAGGCAAGTGCAGCCTGCAGCTCCAAGCAGTGCTTGGGCTGCTGTGTCCACATCTGCTCCCTGGTTACTTTCTGAAGCTGTCAGAGCGCAAGAAATCTGTCTAAAGGGAAGTGGGGTGCTGGCGTTCAGATGCTTAAATAAACCACATCTCTAGGAGGGCAGAACCCAAGGGCCATGTCTGGGTCCTCAGCATTGAGAAGAGAGATCATAGTAGTATGTGGATAAGGCAAAGCTCGGGATGCTGGAATCCTTTTGGATTATTACTCTGGCTCTGCCCCTAAATGAGCCTCAGATATTTCAACCCATTTACTTTCTCCATTTTTCTATGGATCCATGTATCTATCTCCTGTCTACTGTGATCTCACCCTGCAAATTAGACTGTTTGCCTGGGGAGGAAGAGGGATAGTTCACACCCAGCAAGGCTGTTCCAGCACTGATCTGGCACTAATATCAACTAACCCCCCCAGTGATAAAGAGAAACCAAGGGCTGCAGCAGAAAGAGTTGGAGTTTGGTGGCAGGCAGGTTGTGCATGTGCAAATCCCAGCTCAAATATTAAGTTTAAACCCTCAGCCTCAGTTGACTCATCCCAGCATCACTTTATGAAGCTGCGGGTGTTGGAGGTTATCAGGTAGAGTGAAGGGGCGTTGTGTTAAGTGTACATGGGGCAGCAGTCACTACTCTTAGTAATTTGTGCATTAGCACTGTTTCTGCAGAATCAGGGACGTGCTGTCACTAGGTGGAACGCTAGTCTAGTAAGGGTGGACATCAGGTATTAATCAAGGAAAGGCTGGAGAGTGGGCAGGAGGCCAGGAGGCAGTGGGCCTGGGACAGGTGGGCACCAGGCCCCAGACCCCAGGATGGTGAGTAGAGGAAGGCTAATGATGAAGGTTCTCCACTGAAGAGGATCAGGACTCAGGCCTAAACATTTCTGCCTGGACAAGACAAAGGACCAGTGGACCAGGGCCAAGGCATGTGCTGCTGGGGAGGGGGCAGCAGGGAACCCACCTCCAGGTTCCTCCAGCAGAAGGTGAGGAGCTGCTGCCCTCAGGGAAGGTTAAGGAGACTCAGCAAAGCCATCTGACAGTAAGGGGTGGATCCAAGGTGGAAAACTCACTCGTCCTTCCTACTGTATAGCGTGGGCCACTCTGCTCAATGGTATGTGGCAGCCTTGGAAGGGAAGGCAGTTTGCAATGAACACTGGAGTCTGTGTATCTTTTTGAATTAGTTTTCTCCAGATATATGCCCCAGAGTGGGACTTCTGGATCATACAGTAGTTCTATTGCATTTTCAGCTTTTTAAGGAACTTCCATACCTTTCTCCATAGTGGCTGTACCAATTTACAGTTTTACCAGTAATGTAGGAGGGTTTCCTTTTCTCTGCACCCTCTGCAGCCTTTATTATTTGTAGACTTTTGGATGATGGCCATTCTGACCAGTGTGATGTGATGCCTCATTGCAGTTCTCTTGTGCATTGCTCTCATAATTAGTGACACTGACCATCATTTCATGTCCCTGCTGGCAATCTTTTATGTCTTCCTTGGAGAACTGTCTATTAAGGTCTTCTACCCATTTTTAATTTTTATTTATTTGTTTTGCCCATTTCTACATCAGGTTTTTGGTTTTTTATTTTATTTTTTTGACATAGAGCTACATGAGCTATTTGTATATTTTGGAGATTAATCCCTTGTCAGTTGCCTCCTTTGCAAATATTTTTTCCCTCTCTGTTAGTTTTTTATTTTCTTTATTGTTTCCTTTGGTGTGCAAAAGCTTTTAAGTATAATTAAGTCCCATTTGTTTACTTTTGTTTTTATTTTCGGTACTCAAAGACATGGATCAAAAAGGATATTTCTGCAATTTATGTCAGAGTGCTTTTTTTTTTGGCTGTGCCATGTGCCTTGTGGGATCCTAGTTCCTTGACCAGGGATCTAATTCAGGCCCACAGCAGTGAAAGTGCTGAGTCTTAACCCTTGGACTGCCAGAGAATTCCCTCAAAGAGTGTTCGGCCTATGTTTTCCTCTAAAAGTTGCAAAGTAGGTCTTTGATGCATTTTGAGTATACTTTGCTGTATGGTATCAGAGAATGTTCTAATTTCATTCTTTTACGGAGCTGTCAAGATTTCCCAGCACCACTTATTGAAGAGGGTTTTCCCCACTGTCCATCCTTGCCTCTTTGTCATAGGATAAATCACCATAGGTGCATGGAGAGAAGAGTCCACTTAAAGTTGTTGAGTCCTCCAACCCTAGATCTGAGCTTTCAATGTCTTCCAGCGGTTTAAGGTTTTTCTCATTCAAGCACGTACAGTGAATGTGCAGACAGATGGAGGGGAGGGGCGTGCAGCAGCTTCAGGAGAGCGGTTGCCACCAGGAAGAGGAAAGAGGTTGGCTGCAGCACAACAGGGACTGGGCTTCTGTCCAAGATGCTGTAACAGTGTTCTCATCACATCTGCACGCTTATGGAATACATATGAATGTTTCCTATAGAACTATTGTTCTATGTTTGAAATATTTTAGTTTAAAAAATATTTAGAAGTTAATCGATTTTAATAGAAAAGGATTTTATTGCAAATACAGTGATTTCATATTACAGTAGTTTATTCTGATAAACCAAATGACCATAATTTATGTATATCTTGGATATAAAACTAAACTTTTTTCCTTCTTTTTTTAAACATAATACACTTTCCAGTGTGATGACATTTCCATGAGGAAAAGATTGCATTCACAATGGATATGATACCATCCTCCCTGAGTCCACAGCCCTATATCACCAGCACTGTCTAGACCTCCCTGTGGTGGAACAAGCCCTGACAAAAAGGCTTCCTTCCTCTATCCCTTATTGCTAGTACAAAGTCACAGAAAGTGTAGCATTTCTGGAGTGTCTACATCGATCCACCATCAAGAATGCCAGTGACTAAACCCATAGCACTAACAGTGCAATGGTAAAACAACAGAGCCCTGATTTCGCATTTTAATCTCTGTAGCCAAGGTCAGAAGTGCAAGATTAAAATTGCTTTATTTTACCATTTACCTTGCTGAGAACCTCGTAATCTGTTTTTCTTGTCAGCAGCAAAATTAGGAATATAATTCTGGAAGTTAACCAAGGACCACTAAAAAAAAAGTATAGTCTTTTCCAACCTGTTTCCCCAGCATCTGGCACAGAGACCTTCATTAAATGCTTGTGGGGTAAACAGAATCACAATCCTCGTCTATCCAGGGGTATACAGCCAACGAGCCACAATAAGTTACGGTGTCACACTGGTTTTACTTTAAAAGACGTTCTTTCAAAATGAACTCCAGGAAGAAAAGCAGTCTACACAGCGAGGGAAACTGTAGCAATCTTGCTGAGGAGTTTGCTGAGAGCTCTAACTTTTCCTTCCAAGAATCGGGACTTTTTCTCGGCGCCTCGTTGCTTCTCTTCAGTGACTTGAAGCGCTTTTGTCAGGTGGGCATTTTCCACATAGAGCTCCTTGAGCAGCAGATCAGATCGTGTGCTCTTTTCAAACTGGAAAGGGGAGAGAGCCACAGTGTACTGCACGTCTGACGCAGCCACGCCATGCCACCAGCTCTCCCTTCCTATTCCTCCACACACGTTCAGACTAGCATGGGGAACCTTACAAATCAGAGACATGTTGGATGCAATGACAGGTTTTGTTATCCTGGCATGAGAGAGGAAACTGACGAACTATGTGGTAGAGAAAATTTAAGCCACCTTTGTACAAACTGAGTTACCACGAAATGAAGACAAGACGACGCAAATCTGGAGGCCTCCAAAAGACGAGGAAACTGTCAGGAGCACCCAAACTGTTTGGCTTATCTCAGCGGGCTCTGCAGGCCCACCGTGTCAGCAGGACGCGCCGAGGCTCCTTGGGTGCCGCCCACACGACACCCACAGGGGCTCCAGCGACGGGGACACAGGATACACGGTCAAGATGCAAAGACGCGGGGATCCCAGCTTTCGGCTTTGACAGTCCGCGCTGAGTTCACTCACTCAAGTAGCTACTGAGCAGCTCTGCGGGCCAAGTGCTGCCGGCCGCGGCGCTGCTCCCACAGGCACGTGTTCTAACGGGAGGAGCCAGCAGAGCACGCAGGGTCAGCCTGCGTGTTCAGAGAACCCAGGCGGGGGACACACGGTGAGCCTGAGGTGAACAGACAGCCCTGAGAGGAGCATGGGGGGCGTGGGGGAGGCTGCCTGGGTAAACCTCCCGGGCAGAGGCCAGCACATGCGGGGGTGACAGGAACGGCCAGGAGGCCCGTGAGGAAGGCAGAGCCGTCACGCCGGCTGGGCAAGGGCCGAGGGGAGGGGGCCAGGTCCTGCAGAATCTCGAGGCCACCAGAGAAGCCGCTGTCTACTCTGAGGAAGGCCGGCAGCTCCAACATATCTGAGGATGACTGCTGTGCTGAGGGGCTGGCAGGGGAGACGAGCTCCCCAGCTGTCAGAACCCAAAAGACGGGGCGCGGAGCGGGTGATGGGAGCTCTGCTCCGCACCGAGGGCCGCGCTGAAGAGTTGGATGGGCCCCTGGGTGGGCGGGCGGCTGGGAGCAGGCAGCCTGGAAGGGGCACCTGTCAAGGCAGCAGAGGACTCGCTGGGAGGACCAGGCTCCAGAAGGCGGTGCCGAGGAGACAGGAGGAAGGGGCGGCGGAAGTGGGGCTGGGTGAGCTGAGCACACGGCCATTTCTCCGGGACCTTCTGGTCTCACGGGGACACAAGCCCAAGTCACAACTGAGAGGAAGGGAGAGGGGCTGGGGGTCAGAGGTAGAGCGGAAGGGCCCCCCCCCAGAGAAGGGGTGTGGAGGAAAGGTGGCAGTTGGGCCAGTCCACCCTACCCCCACCCCCGGCATGTAGGAGCCTCAAGATTGACTTGGGGTTGAGGTTTTGCCAAGAGTGACTGGTGGGTACCGGGGTCACCAAGAGCCTGACGGCTGGGAAGGAAAGTGAGGACCTGGGGACAGACAAGGTTGGAGGGCGGCGGTGCCGGCAGGACAGGGGCTACAGAGATGGGGAGTGGGGGGGTCTGGAGCGGGCAGCCTGCACAGAGAGACTAGAACTGGGGACCCGCGGCCCAGGGCGCTCCAGATAAACCACATTCGGTCCCTGTGTAGAGAAGTATTTCCACAGATGCTCACACTTCACTTCCCTGAGCACCAAGCAGACCACAGAGGACAGCAAGGCCTCTCTCTCCCCTCTCTCCCTGCCCTCCGCTCCCCTCCTCAGCACTTCCGCAGGACACAGGGTTCTCTTGGGTCCTGTCTCCCTCATCAGCTACCGAGTCGCCCAAAGGAGGCGTCCGTCACTCACCTGTTGCTTCAGCTCACCCACTTTCTCTTGGAGGAGCACTTCCATGTTCTTCAAAGTCATCTCCACCTCTTCCACCCGCTCTTCTCTTGCTTTCAGCTGTTTTTCATGTGCTTCCTGAACAAGAGGAGGTTAGAGATCATCACGGTTCACTCGAAAAAGAATCATCTCAGGCTTATTTACTTTAGAATGGAAATCAGCTGAAGTGTACAAAATCTGAGCATCTGGCTAACCTTTCATCCATAGGGACAAATGGTTAGAAATGTCTCACAAGCCACAAAGCTTCATTTCTCACTGTAGTGTGAGCAGATAAGAGACTCCTTGTCCTAGGATCTTAATCCTAGATGACCCAAAGAAACTCAAAGTTTGAGTTTCCCCAAACATGGTAGTCTTTCTAGAGGATCTCTGACTACATTTCCTTTGTCAATAGTCTGTCCTAGCTTAAATGTCTCTCCAGCACAACGTGTCTGCATAATGCTATAAGGCTGTTCTTTGTTAGAGGTTTTTGTTTTAGAAATGTCAGATTTTACCCACCTTTCCAATCTTGCACAAATTCCTTCCTCAACGAAGGTACCTGGCCCTCTGCCCCTCCTCACCCTCCCACTGACCCATCAACTTTGAGGACCCTAATGTGCTTCCCAGGCTCGTGCTTTGAGGTGCTCACTCACTGATGCCTGAGAGACTGCTCTGAGGCGGAAACCACTGCCTCCAGAGGTTCAAAGAAACGGAAGCACAGAGGGCTAAATCACTCCCTCAGTTAAATCACTCGGCTTGAGTGGTGGAGCCAGAATCCAGTCCCCTGCAGTGCACGCTCTGAGCCTCTGTTCTGCTGCCCTTTAAAGGCAGCAACTCTGTTTCTCCATGAGAGGCTGGCACACAGCAGGGCTCCCCAAGTCCGTGCTGTCACTGTGCTGATCTCATGTCCAACCAGCCCCCTACTCCTTGCTGCTTTTATACATGACAAACACAGCCCACCCCAGGACTTCTGCACCTGCGTGCACTCCTGAAGAGCTATCCCTGCCCATCCCTCTGCTGGGGCCCTTCTATCGCCACCTTTCAGACCTGGAAGCAGGTCACGTGTGTGGCTGGCTGCAAACACACGCAGCCCAGAAAACAGGTTGGGGGACGTCAGGGTCGGCCACTTAGCACCCACCAGATCCCAGTGGAAGCCGGATCCCGTGGCTTCCATAAACATCCGCTGTTGGGCCGTTCTCCCCTTGGCACCTGAGATCCTACCTCACCTCCCCGTCACTCCCAGCTGGCCCCCCCAGCCCTGTCCTCACTCACCCGTGCCTCTTCCTGGAGCTGCTGAGCCGCCCGCTGTTCCCCTTCCAGCAGCTGGTACAGCTCGGCCATACGGCTTGCAGGCATGCGCTGTGCTATCTCCTCCTGCAGCTGCCGCACCCGCTGGGCGTGCTGGGACCGGGCCAGCCACAGCCTTTGGGTGGCTCCATACAGCTGCCGAGGAAAAGGCACAGCGGTTGTGGGGTGACTGCCCAGAGTTTCAGGGTCACCACCAGACACACAAAACTGCATCTCTACCTGGTAGGCCACCCCACAGGAGAAGGGCCTGTCCAGGAAAGCCCACGATTTCTAAAGAATCCGTTTATCTGATGCCCACACTCCATTTCCCGGTAGTTCAGATGGTAAAGCATCTGCCTGCAATGCAGGAGACACAGGATACGTGGATTTGGTCCCTGAGTTGGGAACATCCCCTGGAGAAGGGGATGGCAACCCACTCCAGTATTCTTGCCTGGAGAATCCCACAGACAGAGGAGCTTGCCAGGCTAAAGTCCATGGGGTCACAAAGAATCGGACAGGACGGAGCAACTAACACAAAGTCCATTCAGGGGCTTCTGCACCCTGAGAGCCTGGAAGCCCTGCCTGTAGCCCTCCCAGTGACCTCATGCCGAATCCTGGGAGGATCAAGTTATTCTCTCATGTTTACCTCCTGGTTTCTTCACTGGGTTTAATTCCTTCCATGACGGGACCCACACCAGCCACCTCCCTCTAAATGCAGAGCTCACGCTCCTGAGACGGGCTGTGGCCAGGGCCCCAGAGGTCTGGCGGGGCGTGGATGTGGACGGACTGGGACACTGCTTCCCTGGGCACAGAACCCACAGGATCGCTGGCACCAGGCTGTCCAGAGCTTTCCCTGCACGGAGCGCTTGGGAGACCATCTAAACACCGTTTACACCATGGGCTCCGGCAGCCTCATCTGGAGCACACAGAACTGCCCTCTGAGACCCCGTGGACGGGAGAGGTGGCGGCTCCACCAGGGGCCCTGCTGAGGGCAGGCTGGGGAGGAGGGCACGGGCCACCCCAGGCACGGGTGAAACCGTGAGCCACAGCCCCACTGCCCTCACTGTCCTGTGTCACCGCGTGTCTGAGGGGCCACCCCGGGCAGTTTCCCCGGACAGACCCCAGAGGCACACCACACACACGGGTCCAGTGGAGCAGCCGCCACACTCCTGGGATGAAGAGAGGGGAGGAAGATTCTCACACACCCTCCACCAGACGTAGCCGCCTCCCCGCGGTGTCAGAGGTTCGGATGATCACTATGCAGTCACTCCAGCCCATGTCTGATTCCCGCACATCTGCCTGGGTGCCTTGCCGCCTCCTGCAGCCGATGCTGTGCTGAGCCCTGAAGCCTGACCACAGGCCTCGCTGTCCACTCTCCTTGGCCAGGCAGAATTTCAGCACGGCCCTGAGGCCCTCCTTATAAAGCAAGGTGTAGATGGAGGGTAGGCCCACTCCTGAGAGCCCTGCTCGACTGCAATGTGAGAAGGCAGGACGTCCCCAGAAGAGAAGTGGGGCCCCTGCACCCAGGAAGCCAGGGCCTCCGTGTTCTGGGTGTTGGGGTGGGGCAGTGAGCCCCTCAGACAACGGTGGACCTTTCCGCCCTGAATCCAGGCTGGCCTGGCCAAATGTGGGACAGTGATGCTAAGGAACCCCCCAGCGCAGTGCTCAGAAGACCAGATGCTTGTCTGCCCTTGCTGGGCGCTTCGTTGCCACACCACGAGGACCCAACGCCACGGAGAGGCTGGCACAGGGGCCCCCATCCACAGCACCCCGGGACGCTGCCCGTGTAAGCGCCCTTTTCGATGCCAGGCTCCCCCGCGGGCCCCGTGACCTCAGGACCACTCCCTCCCCAAGGCTCTGGATGCACCCTCACCTCTGCACTCCCTGACGGTCCCTAGATGCCCTGTAAGCACCTTACGTCATCTGCACACTTTCATCCAGGCGTGTCTCGGGGGGGGGGGTGGTGGTCCTCATCTAACTCACAAAAGGTGACAGCAGCTGCCTCACAGCATTTCCTCCTGCCTGTGACAGCGGCTGAGTGCTGGGCATCCCCCCACCCCAGGGGGCATGGAAGCCTCCAGCAGCCCAGCCCTGCTGCCCATGGGTGGGTCTGTCTGCTTCGCCTCAAAGGCTCAAAACAGTCCAGCAATTTCTCAAGGTTCCTTTCGCACTACAAACAGGGAAGGGAGCCCGCTATACACAGAGACACCTTGGAGAAAGTGCCTGCTAACAGTGGGGGGCTGGGCCCACAGGGGTCTGCCAGCCCCTCCTCAGACCCTGGACAGGGAGGAGTCCCACATGCAGACAGACCCTTCTGCAACCCAGGCCACCTGAGAAGTGAGCTCTCACACCAGGTGTCCACAGCTAAGTCCAGGGGTGGGGAACCTGGTGCTAAGCTGAGCAGAGACACGAGGCTTAGAGACCCTCTCTCACAGCCCCTTCCCCCTGCAGGCCCTGGCCCTCCAAGTGCACCCCGTGTCACACCGTCACCTCCCTCCTCTCCTCCTGCTCGAGCTCCTCGGAAGAACCAGCGCTGCGTCCCAGCACCTCACGCTGGCAGGCACCGCCACCCCTCCTGGGCCTGCTCGGCTCACATCTGTGTGTCCCAGCCCATGAGCTCCCTGCCTCCCCACCACTGCGCCTCTGAGCCTGGCAGGCACCGGACAAGCGTTGGGCAGGGCAGTGGGCGCACACCCACAGGCGTGTCACACCCGGGCTCCGCTGGGGGTGAGAAGCTGGTCACCTCGGGGGCTGCGCCACCCACGGCCTGAGCCTCGGAGCCCACCTGCCATGCTCCCTGGCTCCTCCACCTGCAGAGGGCGCACCCAGAGGAGCTGTATGGACTCCTGCCCTCGGGAGCAAACAGGCACAGCCCTTCACACGGTTCACTTGTGTTCCACCTGACCCTGGACGGGGCCTGACTGCGTCCTGGGCCTGGAGGGCGCCCCCTTAGCCGTGTGACCTCAGCCAGCCGCGTGACGCCCTTGGCCAGACCAGTCCCATGCAGGCGGTCAGAGGCGAGGCTGAGCCCTCTCAGCCCGGGACCCCCGTGCACACCCACCTGGTCCCGACTGTCTTCAAGGGCTTCTCTCAGCTGTGACTGGGCCAGTCTCAGGCTCTGACGTTCCTGAGTCACGCGGTCAAGTTCAAGTTCAAGTTTTTGGATTTGGTTACCCTGTTTTTAAATGTCGGTTTCACAAGTATAAGAAGAACATTAGCAACATGATATGTGTTTAATGCAGAAACTTCAGAAAGGCAAGAATTACAAAATTTAAGTCATCTGTGATCGCAGCACACCCGACGTGCTGTATCTCCTGGCCCTTCCTCCACACACACACATGCTGCCACCACGACATCGTAGGCCATGCTTTCTCATATGTCCAGAGCATTAGACACTATTCAAAAACGTGGTTATTAATGGCGGTACCATAATTTACTGACTTAGTCAATACGGTTTAGGACTCAAAGCTGATTCCAATTCTGTTGTGCTATTATAAACACCAGTGCAATGAAAATAGGTTCAGCTAAGTCCACAGATAATGTTCAGTAAAGTTCCCACAGCACAATCATGAAGTCAGGGCACACCAACGTTCTCGACCACTCTTGATGTATGTTTTGCCATAATGACCTCTGGAGAGGTCATCCCAATTTAGGCTCCTATCATCAGGATTTAATCTCTTTCTGCTCCTTTCTCTGAGCATCAGGCTTTGCAAAACTGCTAAAGTTCACACATTTTTCAGCGCTTGCTTGTGAAGCCCCTCGCTTTACCTCCAGGCATGTCAGGGCTGTCCCTGCTCTGTTTTAGGCCAGGCTGCCTGCCCCTCCCTGCCCCACCCACAATTCACCTGCAGTTCCTTCCGGAGCTCGGCCTCCTCCACTCTGCGTGTCAGCAGCTGGATGGTGACGTGATTCTTATCGCTTTGGGCCTGGTGGGTAGAGGCCTCCTCTCCAAGCTGCAGGACCCTGTGGTTGAGCTGGGATAGTTCATCCCTACACTTGTGACTCTGGAACAAAAGGAGAAAACACAGGTAGACAAGTTATTTTTTTAAGCCAGCAGCATCCCAGGGGTCCTCAACCAGGACACTCTTCTCCCCAGGGGATGCTTAGCAATCTTTGGAGACCATTTTGGTCATCACAGCTGGGGGCAGGGTTGCTATCAGCAACTAGTGGGTGAGGCGCTTGCTCAGTGTCCCCAGAGTGATGGGCTCTCAGGCCACCGCGCGGAGAATGAACTCTGATCCATCCCCCAAGAACCAAACGCTGGGCACCAGGAGTGCTCACACCCCATCAGGAGTGCTCACACCCCATCAACATCCCATCACTGCTCTGGAGAACTGGCATAATTTTCTCATTTCTCCCACGGTTATTTTTGACATTATCTTACACATGTTGAAGGAAAAAAAAAAAAAAAAAACCCTAGCTAAACCTGAGGCACGTGATTCTCTTCAACAGTCTGATCACTGTCATTAAACACAGCACACTGATGAAATCACCCACTTGGCAGACGGTGCGTGATGGACGCTGGCGGTGTGGCCTGGGATAAACAGCAGCCAGCAGGTGACATAGCAAGCTCATTATCTCCAACCGTGTGTCACACACCTTCACACAAACCATGTTTTGCTCCTCTGCTTTTCCCTAGCAATTGCTCTGGAGGCTGAGGGTCTGAAGCCCTCTGTGCCTCGGAGCAGAGTTCATCCACAGCTAGGCGGGTGCATCACTGTTGCCCCAGGGCGGGTGTTCCCACCTTATCAGCCAGGCTCAGGGGGAGGCAGGCAGCGGAGGGAAGAGGCAGATGGGAACTGCGGGTCTCTCCAGGGTACAGCAGGTGTCTGAGAAACCAGAGGCGACAAAAGCACTCCCAGAGTGAGTGGGAAGTCAGCAAGGACACAAGGTGGGCAGGTGAAAATCTACTATGTTTCTATGCCCTGACAGTAAACGTGCAGAAACCCACGTGAGAAACAAAACACCATTTCTGCCCTGGCCTGGAAAGAGTTTGGAAGTCGTCACTCCCAACAAGAACAAAGAAAAAGCGGAGTAACTGAGAGTCAATAACTCTTCTGAGATCCATCAGAGAACTGAAGTCACAGGGCAAACCAATGCTCTGGAAACTGGAAAGAAAAACAGGCGAAGAGCGTCACAGCTCACCAGGAGTCAAAGGCTGGAGGCCTAAACAGAGTGGCTGCTGTGGGTAGAACCGGGTCCACAAAGTCACCCCTGTCTGGAGACACGGCTGCTAGCAGGTCATTAAGGCTAACTGTGCTCACAAGGTGGGGTCCTCATCCAACGGGACAGGGACTTTATAAGGAGACACAGTGAGAGGGGGCCGCCCACAAGCGTGGAAGAGCCTCATGAGAGCCAAGCCAGCCCCGCCTTGATCTTGGCCTTGAGAACCTTGGGAAACAAACTCCTGTAGTTTAAGCCACCTGCTTGTGGCATTCTGTATGGAGCCTGAGCAGACTAGGACAGAGACTGCTCTGAAGACACAGAGCGTTCTGCTCTCTGCCCTCAAGGGAAACCTCCTTCTCTACCAGGCCGGAATCAGCGAGGGGAAGGGGATAACCAACTAGAGCCCGCTCTAGCTGTTCTGACTCAGGGTCACTCACCTACTGGAGTGGCTAAAATAAAAGTGACAACACCAAGTGTGGACAGGGATGTGGGGCAACTGGACCTAGCATACACTGCTGGCGGGAACATAAACTGTTAGTAGCCGCTCTGGATAACAGCTGGGCAATTTCATATAAAACTAAACATGCAACTGCAGTGCAGATCAGCAATTGCTCTCCTGGGCATTTATCCCATGAAATGAAAACCTACATCCACACAAACACCTGCCTAGGAATGTACATTGCAGCTTCTGTGACAGCCCACAACTGGAATCAGCCCAGCCATCCTTTCAAAGGGGAGCATTAAGACAAGTTGGTTCTAAATTGGGAAAGGAGTACGTCAAGGTTGTATATTGGTCACCTTGATTATTTAACTTATATGCAGAGTACATCACGTGAAATGCTGGGCTGGATGAAGCACAAGCTGGAATCAAGACTGCCGGGAGAAATATTAATAACCTCAGATATGCAGATGACACCACCCTGATGGCAGAAAGCAAAGAGAAACTGAAGAGCCTCCTGATGAAAGTGAAAGAGGAGAGTGAAAAAGCTGGCTTAAAACTCAACATTCAAAAAACTAAGTTCATGGCATCCAGTCCCATCACTTCTTGGCAAATAGATGGGGAAACAATGGAAACAGTGACAGACTTTATTTTCTTGGGCTCCAAAATCACTGCAGATGGTGACTGCAGCCATGAAATGAAAAGACGCTTGCTCCAAGGAAGGAAGGCTATATTGGCCTATATATCTAGGCCAACCTAGAGAGTACACTAAAAAGTGGACAAAGGTACGTCTAGTCAAAGGAGATCCAACCAGTCCATCCTAAAGGAGATCAGTCCTGGGTGTTCATTGGAGGGACTTAGGCTGAAGCTGAAGCTCCAATACTTTGGCCACCTGATGCGAAGAATTGACTCATTGGAAAAGACCCTGATGCTGGGAAAGATTGAAGGCAGGAGGAGAAGGAGACGACAGAGGATGAGATGGTTGGATGGCATCACCAACTCGATGGACGTGAGCCTGAGCAAGTTCTGGGTGTTGGTGATGGACAGGGAAGCCTGGTGTGCTGCAAACCATGGGGTCGCAAAGAGTCAGACATGACTCAGCAGCTGAACTGAAGTGAAGACAAGCTATGGGACATTAATGCCTTGGAATACCATCCAGCGACAGGAAGAAAGAAACTGGACACACGGCAGGGAATCATGCTCTGTGAGGAAAGGCAATCCCAAAGATCTCATTCTGTATGATTCCTTTTGTGTCACTTGTGAAATGACACAATTTTGGAAATAAAGGACAGTTAGTTGTTTTTGGGGGTTGAGGCTGGGGTAGATGGGCAGAAAGATGTAGTTGTGAATGAACAATATGAAGGACCTTGTGGAGCTGCAGCTGTGGTTGTGGAGACATGAACCTCCACAGGGAATTAAAACCGTGTAGACCTGACACCCACATGAGTACAGAAGTAAAGCTGTGGAAGCATGTGGCCTTTCTGGGTGGTCCCGTGGTTAAGAATCTGCCTTCCAAGGCAGGACACTGGGGTTCCATCCCTGGTTGGGGAACTAAGATGCCACGAGCCGCGGGGCAACAAAGTCCTTCCCCCAAGATAAAGAACAACTCCCCCCAAACCTGGGGAAGTAAGACCTATGGATTGTATCAATGTCAATAGCTTGACTGTGATGCTCATCAAGGGTTGACTTGCACCCCCTCACACCACAAATCACATGTTGAAGCCCAAACCTCCAATACTGTACTGGAGTACTGTACAGAGGGACTGCAGTTGGAGATGGGGTCTTGAAAGAGGTGATTAAGTTAAAACGAGGTCGTATGAATCCAGTATGCTGGTGCCCTAATAAAAGACGACACAGACACATCTGAAGGATGACCATGTGAGGACACAGGGAGGACAATCGTATACAAAACAAAGAGACCGGCCTCAGAAGAAACCAGCCCTGCCCTGACCTTGAACTGCCAACTCCGAGAACTGTGAGGAAATAAACTTCTGTTGTATAAGCCCCTCAGTCTGTGGTGCTTTGCTATGGCAGCACTGGCAAATTAACACAGATACTATGCTAAAGTTTCGCAAAATGTGACCACTGGGGGGAACTGGACAAAGTGTATTCCTCTGTAATACATGTCTTATAACCACATGTGAGCCTGCAATTATCAGCAATAATTTCAATTAAAAAAAAATTTTTTTTTAAATGAAAGAATGACATCCAAGCTATGTGAAGTGAAGTGAAAGCAGCTAAGTTGTGTCCGACTCTTTGCAACCTCATGGACTATACAGTCCATGGAATTCTCTAGGCCAGCATACTGGAGTGGGTAGCCTTTCCCTTCTCCAGGGGATCTTCCCAACCCAGGGACCAATCTCAGGTTTCCCACACTGCAGGTGGATTCTTTGCCAGCTGAGTCACAAGGGAAGCCCTCCAAGTTGTGTGCTTTGGTACGAAAGCCAGTAAGTGAGACCAAGTGCAGAAAGCATTTATTCATGGGGCAGAGGGAGACCAGTGTGATGGGCAATGCTGAAACACAGTGAGGAGGGCATTCATGTGCAGGCTAAAGGGGACTGATCAAACAGTAAGTCCATCCACTGAGGATGATGGAGACCAGGCTTTTCACTGCTAGAGGAATAAGTTATAAATACAGAAAGAGAGAAAGCTAGAATCATCCTTGTGGTATTGGAATTGCAGAGTTTGAATTTATGATTTTTTGGTAGAGAGGTGTATAAATAAATCTACCTGAAACCACGTGCATGTGAGCATAATAAATATACACTCCCTAGTTCCATGCACTAACTGCATTTGGACATGGTCATGCCCCAGGAGCGGTGAGCACTCCCAGGACCCAAATCTTGGTCTCCAAGTACCACTCTGAGCTAAAAGTCACCAAGCATTCCTTGGAGAAATGGTTGCTTCCAGGGTTGGGGCAAGGGAAGTACCAGATGAACCTGGCATATCATGGGACACTAGAAAGTAAGGAAGTGCTCAAATAATGACCAGGACCTGTCTAGAGGGCCCAGAACTCACCCGGAGGGGGCTCTTATTGGCCAAATCTGGGACAATGGAGCATGAAAATAAATACTGATGGTAATATATTATAACCCATTGAATAAAACAGGGAGAACAATTGGGTGAGAGTTAGATGAAGAACAGAACATTCACATCATATCAAAGGAATTTCCCATAAAATGCTCAGTAGTTACCAAGGGAAAGTAACTTCGTAAAGAAGCCTGGCCAAAACCACCTGATCAAGAATCCAAGGATGTCACTAAAGCTTGCGTCCCTGGACAGGATGGAATTAGAAGGGGATATCCCCATATAATCTGAATTCAATGATAAGTTCTAGACACACCATATAACAGCTGCTTATAACCTTCAAAAGCACCAGGCCCTAAGAACAAGGACAGGCAGACTGAAGCCACACGAGGTCCTGATTGTGGCTGACAGGGCCTCAACCCATCATATCCACACTGATTTCCCAACTTAGAGAGGAAGTTGGCTGATGGGCTAGCAACTCTTGTAACTTTCATAAAAATGTTCTGTGTTTCCTTTTTGTTAGGTTGAGATTATTTCAAAACAATGGAAAAGGGAGGGGAGCATCCATTTCATGCCAGGGGTCAATACTTAACCTGTGTGCAGAGCTCTTCCATCTCAGAGCAGGCCTTTTCCTTGTCTCTCTTTAAAACCTCAATTTCCTTCCTGTTGAAGAAGCAAAGTTAACAGTATCACTGACCAGTCATTGCTCACAGTCACTGTGGTGGCTGGTGTGTACACCTGCTCTCAATACCCTACAGCCATGGGTCTGTCACTGTCTTGCACTGTGCCCACTGCTGGTCAATTGGATCCCAGCCTAGGAACCAGAGGAACCCTGCCAGCAGTAGGAACAAACCCTCCACGACATTCCTCAGTTGCACAGCACATGGTAATCTCTCTCCAGCTCATGGGAGTGCTCCTCACACCCAGAAGCATAACGATCAACACAGCCTTACATTTGCTGACTTCTGCTGTCAAAACGGTCCCAGCACCAAACTTAGGGAAAATGGTTCCTGGAGGGAAACCTTTCGGATTTCAGAATTGCTGTAATATAATAGAGGTGGCTGGGTGACCATCCACTCTGGATTCCACACTTCAATCATCAGGCACTTTTATCAAATCAATACCACATTCTCGGCAGTTTAGAGCTGAGCTCATTTGAAGTTTATTAAAAAAAAAAAAAAGCCAAACCCTTGTCAGATGATGCGCTGATGGTGAAAGCTGACGTCCACTGGCAGGTGTCCCTCCACAATACACACAGCTCCTGCCTCAGTGCTCAGGCCCCTGCCCTAGACCCCTGACTCTCACACACTGAAATCCACAGACCAGGAACGAAGCTTGGACAGAAGCACAGCTAAAATCACTATCAGGACAAGAAGAAACCGATTCCGATGGCCCAGGAAGGCTGGAAGAGGCCCTCTTGCCCTACAGGAATGCAGGATGCCTCCTCCGGCCCTGGAGCATGCTGTGCAGTATTTCTGTAGGACGCCTGAGCCCTCCCGTGCCCATCAAGGCTGGTCGGAGGGCAGCACAGGTCTCTGCTGACTGCTCCTGGAATGTGGGTTATCTGTGAACACGTCCCACTTTCTACAGCAATGCCCTCTGAGCTTCTTCTACAATGAGCAAACTGTGTCTGGGATGGGTGGTCGGGGTGGGACCACTGAGCCGGCCCTTACCTCTGTGCAGCCTCTGTCCTTTCTGAAGCTTCAAGCTCTTGTCGGATCCTCCCCAACTCATTTTTCAAAAGTGTGTTTTCTTCATAAAGCTTTTCCAACTCGATTCTGGATGACAAATTTTAAAAAGAAAGAAGAGTGGGAATTCCAGGAGCTGGTCACCTGACAGAGTCTGGTCTTGCAATGACCCCCAGTCACACTCTCCTTCCCTGGATGTGGACATAGGGACCAGTTCCTTCCCTGTATCCAGTGTTAACCTGCTCTGGTTTGCATCTCCCAAGAGAAGCTACAGAAAAACAAAGCTTTCTTAGCTCTTAAAAGAGCCACTGACTAGTGTATTTGGCACCTTGGTTCTCTGTGTTTACAGCTGGCCCGTTCCTGCATCTCCTTACCTTCACTGAAATATCAGCGTGCTCACAGCTGGCACCAATGCAAGATGCTGGGTGAGAGTCCTCACGAGGTTGTTGCAAGGAAATCCCCCCCAGGGACCCCGAGCACACAGCTGAGGAACACAAGGACTCAGGAGGCTGAATCCTATGGGGAGAGCGCCCCCTATCCTACACCCTGAGGTCAGCACTGGAGGAAACTGGAAAGATGCCCACATCAGCGGACAGAGGGTGATCCGATGTAACGTGGAACGTTCAGGAGAGGAAAGCAAGGACTGACAGAGGCTGCCCAGGCCAAGTCTGCCTGGAGTCCTTGGCTTCTGATGCTCTTAGTCTCCCTGGACGGTAACTCCACTGATGTGCAACAGATGAGCAATTGACCAATAAAGATCACAGGGAGGCAGCTTGAAACCCATGCCTGCTGCCCTGAAAATCTATCCTTAATAAATGTTGGTCATACTGACATTTATGCCCCTAAACATCAGGCATCTACCTGGCATAAGCTTCTAGTTTTCTCAATCTGAAAGTACTCAAGGCACATGATGTCATATGTTTAATGTATTATTCTTATAATATCAAGCATAAGAAACTCCTTCATAGGCATAAGTACGATTTCATTTTTCTCATGAGGAACTAAAGAGAAAAATGAAGACATAGAAGTCAATGGAATTTTAAAATACGTGGAGGGTTTCAAGGAGGAGAGTGATCATAAACGAGGTCTGTGTTGTGAACTGTCATTCAGGCTCCTGGATGGAAGACAAAATTGATTCAAGGCAGGTGTGTGTGTGTGTGTGTGTGCGTGCCGGGGTTGGGATGCTGTGGGGGGGGGGGTGGTTTCCTGTTTCCTGGACCTCAAATAAGATGGTGGTTGCCTTATCTCAGTCCTCCACATTCACCAGACAACCAGAGCCTGTGCAAAGCTGATCATCTAACGTCTGGTGTCCTCACAGAAGGTTATAGAAACCTCCAGGGGCCATTAAACAAAACCCTGAATGCTGAAACCAAAGCCGTGAGCATTAAAGAACCCAAAGATGGGGTTACCCTGAGGCCAACACCTACATCAGTGTGGAGAAACCACACAAGGGCCGCATGTGGTGGGCTGGTTCCCTGGAAGAGGTTAAAGTGGTCTCAGATTAAAAGGCTCCCAAGTCTTCTTAGCAAAAGCAAAACACATCCTTTCTGCCGGGAGAACCCTCTACTACAGCTCTCAGGATTCCCAGAGATGAACATCATGTAAGCATGAGCTCAATCAAATGTCACCACAAAATATGTGGGAAAGGACCACTTATGAGAGTCTGAAGAAGCCAAAACAACAGAATTAGATCCCAGATATTGCAATTATCAGACAAAAAGTTAGGATAAATATTATTAAATGTTTACTTAAATAAAAGATGGAAATAAAAAATGAACAAGCAAGCCACAAGAAGCTATCAGAAACAGTCAGGCAGGACCAAATAGAATGTTTGAAAATGAAAAAAAAAAAAAAACTGTCAAAATAAAAGCTCACTGGTAGATTAGATATAGCTGAAGAAAGGATCACTGACCTGGAACACAGAGATATGAAAAAGTAACCAGAACGTGCCATGTATAGAAAAGAAGATGGAAGAAATGAAAGAGAGGTTAAGAAAAGGAGGAAAAGTGAAAAGATCTAATATTATACATCCAACTAAAAATGCCACTGAGGGGAGAGGCAATATTTCACAAAGAATGTCTGAAAGATTTTCACAGGACACAAATCTATATATTCAACAGGCATAATATTTCAAAGTATGGTAAGTAAAAAGACAACCGCATCTATGCCCTAAGAATAGACAATTCCATTCTTAGGTATACCAGCACCGAGAACAAAAAATGGGGCTCCCCAGAGCACCCCCAGGGGTTACCACTATCCCGACTTGGAATAGTGACCCTGGGGGACGTGTTCTGGGTGGTGGTGACACAGATGTGTCCAATTCATCAAAATTCTTCCAGTTGCATGCATACACGTGTGTATTTTTGTGTGTGTGCATCTAAAACTTCAATAAAAAGTTAAAACAAAAGAAATACACACCTAAACACACCAAAGAAAAACCACAAAAGATGGAGAAGCTAATAGCAACCAGAGGACACAACTCAGGTCACCTCCTGTGGGGACAGAAAAACAGCCTCTAAAAGACGTCTGCATCCAGAACCTGCAAATGTGCTATTTCATAGCAAAGGGGAATCAACGCAACAAAAGGAATTAAAGCTGCTAATTCACTGCCCTTAGATGGAAAGAGTGTCCTAGACTGTCCACTAGGGTCCTCCTCTGTGGAAGAGCAGGCAGAAGACGGAGTCAGGACGGAGCGCAAGGAGGACCAACCAGTCACTGCTAGCCTTAGAGGAGGAAGGTGTGGATCAAAAATGGGAGGTCTGCAGGTTTCCTCCAGAGCGTCCAGAAAGGAAGGTGGCTGCCAACACTGAGATGCCTACCCAGTCATACCCACTTCTGATTTCCAAGCTCGAGCACCGGAAAATCCTAAGTTGTGATGCTTTAAGCCTCTGACTGTGGTAACTCATCACCGCAGCAATGGAAAATGGATGCTCACTCAGAGCAGCCTGCCCAGGTCAGAGGGCAGGGGGCAGCCTTCAACTGCGCATCAAGGCTTGTGCTCCTAGGAAGAACGGCCTTCAGAAATGGGAGAGAATCTGAGGCATTTTCAGATAAACAAAAACTGAGGGAATGTACTACAAAGATAGTTTCACTAAAGACCACACATCAGAGTAAAGAAGATGGTCCCATAAAGAAGGCATCTAACCAGGCATCCAAGCTGAGGACCATTCAGTAAAACGCCCAGTCTGGAGTTTTGAAAAACGACCATGTCCAAATGCCTTGAAACAATCTACTAAGACAGACCCAGGAGGAAACATAAGAACTGAACAGGCCTGTAACAAGGGGTACAGATGTCAGAGAATGGAGCCTTCTCCACCCACCCCCTGGGGCTGAAAGCTGCAAACACCTGTCTCAGTCCCGGCTGCAGCCCTGGCTGTGACAGCACATGGCAGGTGCCCAGGAAACCCCATCCAATGATCCAGACACCCCTGAGACGGGAACCGAGACGTTAGCTGTGGGGCCAACAAGCCAAGGCGTGCCGTGAGTCAGGAGAAGCAGAGAGGACCAGCACAGCCTGCAGGGCCCGGGGGCGGGGTGGAGCACTAGGACAGCACTGGGCTCCTGTGCCTGTCCACCGGAAGTGCCCGAGACAGACGGCAGAGAGGGCGTGTGGCCGCTGGGCTGCTCCCACACTGAAGGACCCCACGTGTGCCTGGGGCCTGATGTGGACTCGCAGGTCCACTGGGCCCGAGACCAGGCTTTGATCGCAGCCGCAACAGTAACAGTGGGTCCAGACGTTCACCTGAGGCTCCGTGCCACTCGTGAGGCCCAGCACCACCTCTGCTTCATGGAGCAGGGCATTCAGAAGTCAGTCCACCACGACCAAGGCTCCATGTCGTTGGGGGGCCCCTGCATCCGAGGCAGAGGCCTAGAGCAGGTCTAGAGGGTGATAAACAGTCCAGATGCCTTGGGGAGAAGTGAGGGGGGCCTGGGAACAGAGCCTGGGGCTGCTGGCTATGCTAGTATTTCCTTTCTCAAGCTTGCAGGTGCACTGACATTTATTCCTTGGCTTATCATAAATCCCCCGTGATCTGTTTACCAGTGAAGCAACGTGCGATGGTCACCTAGCAGGCAGAAGCTAGCACCTCACCTGGCCACACCTGCATGTGCGGTGGGCCAGTGTCCTCTGCCTAGACAAGGGACACAACACCTCATGAAGCCTCTGTCTCCACAGGACGCGGGGAGCTTGCGGGAGTGCTGTGTGGGCGCTCACAGGGCCAAAAGACACAGTGCATAGAGCCGCAACCACAACACACAGCTGTTCCTGCCTGCAGTAACCCGGGTCATCTCCTGTGTGCTGCTGCGAGGCTCCTGGAAAAGCCCTTCTGGAGTCCTGGGCTCCTGAGAGGGAGTGGGTGCCGGCCTGAGCCCCAGGGGGGCCAGGGAGGAGGGCCAGGCTGCACACCTGAGCGGTCCCATCACCGGCTCACAGAGGCCTCCCCACCCCCAGCCTCCCCTCAGGCCTCCCCAGCCCCCAGCTCCCTGGTGGGGCCCAGAGGATGGGCGTGTGGGCCCTTCTTCTCTAGCACAGAAGATCATGCTCCAGTTCTCCAAGCAAACCTTTTCTCTCCTTTGCTCACAAATCTGTTTCTTTCAAGACTCCATGAACCCAAAGTAAAGGCCTTTCCCATTATTTGGGAGCATTAAGGCCTTTTATCCACCTCCCCAGGAGTCATGAGATGACAGATGAGGGACTGTGTATTTTTAAAGTCAGACTCTTTGGGACATCCCTGGAAGTCCAGTGGTGAAGGCTCCCTGCGTCCGCCACAAGGGCACAAGTTCGATCCCTGGTGAGGGAACTAAGCTCTCTCATGCCATGCGCACAGTGCGGCAGAAAGAAAACTCAGAACCTTTGTAAAATAACCTGTTCTTTCAGGGCTCACCACTCAGGTAACAAGTACTTGTGACTCTGAGCAATCTGACCAAATTCAAATTCAAATCTGGGTTCTGGGCAATGAACCTTGGACCTGAGATCTCGCAAGGCAGGGGTGGCGGACCTGAGCCGATGGAGCGCCTCTTGCAGCCGTGTCCTCTCTTGGCTCAGCCGCCACGCGTGGCCCCGCTCCAGCTGCCTCCTCTCCTCTGCAAAGGCCCTTTTCATCACCTCCATCTCCCTCTCGTGGTCACTAACCTGAAGAGAGAGGAGGAGTGACGTCGACCGGGGCCCCCAGACACCGTCCACTTGATGAGTCAAGGCTGCCGGGGCAGCACCAAAACAGCGGGTGGCCCAGCTTCAACAGGGCGCCGGGGTCTGTGAAAGGCCCCCCACGGCTTGTGTGGCCGCCTGCTTCCGTCACTTCCTGTAACCTCCGCTGCAGCCTCGGGGGCAGGCCCTGCAGGTGCAGAAGGGAGGCTGGTGGCCCGGCAGGCAGCCGCAGGAAGAGGGCAGGAGGGAACACCTCCACGAGGCCTGGAAGGCAAGGCCACAGCAGGCACCCAGGGGCAGGACCGCCCCATGGCCATGGTGACCCCTCATGAGCCGTGGGCACCATCCCTCCACAAACCCCCCCCAATCGAGTAACAGAGCAAGAGGCACATTCACCCGAGAAGACAGGCTTGGCCAGGGAGGCCGAGGAGCCCCTGCGTGCCGAGTCGCTGCAGTCGTGTCTGACTCTCTGCGACCCTGTGGACTGTAGCCCACCAGGCTCCGTTGTCCACGGGATTCTCCAGGGAAGAAGGCTGGAGTGGTTGCCACGCTCGCCTCCAGGGGATCTTCCCGACTCAGGGATCGAACCCGCATCTTTTATGTCTCCTGTCTTGGCAACAAGCTCCTCATCTCCACAAGTGCCACCTGGGGAGCCCCTGGCACAGGGCAATCCCAGGAACTAAGATTCTGCTCCCAGAATCTGCTTCAGCTGCAACAGAGCCGGGGGCTGTGACTTCCCAGTGCAGGGCAAACAGGGAGTTCTGGCCTCTGCACCAGCCTCCGGACACGGGGAAGGACTCTGTTCCCTCCCGTTATTAGCTATTCCTTCTGAACTGCCTCCTTCAGAAGAGGGTGGAGGCGGAAAGTCAAGGTCACGCACATTCCCTGCAAACCTCCGTCCCCCCGAGTGCGCTCACTATGGGCACACGTGTCCGCAGATGCGTCTCAGCAGCAGGAAGTTCCCCGACCTCTGTGGCCTCCCTCAGTCCCCTCACCTGGGTCTCCAGCTGGATCCTGAGTTCTTGGTAACGCTCCTTCAGCTGCTCCAACATGATCTCTGTTTCTATACTCGCTGGGGCGGAATCACCCACGAACGTGATGGTGCCTGAAAATAAGAGGACGTGTCCATTATGTTCTACCCAGGACACCACGGGATCTGATCCAACCTCCAAGCCGACCCTGCAGGAAGCACCGCCTTCTGTGGGCCCTTTCTGCAAGAGGAAGGCGGCACTGGTGCTCAGAGGCCACGGGCCAGGGACTGTCTGCTCTGCCAAGTTCTCAAATTTGGCACTTTCACAGGTCAGCATTTTGAGTCTTTGCCAGAACACAGGTCACTCAAACGTAGAAACGAGGAGGCCTCCTGCCAGATCTCTCAGGCTCTATGGGGTACATGCCTGCCCCTTTGACCACGGCAGGCACACAGAGGGGCGGGGACAACAGGAAAACATGACCAGGGCTCAGACAGCACTTCAGGACGAGACGTGACAAAGCCATGTCTTCCAGCTTTATTTTAGCTTCCTCCTTTTTTCAGAGGCCCTCGCTGCTCACTGTTACATCACATAAAGCATGAGGGGTCTCAAGGAAAATGTCACGCAAACTAAGCTGTCGTGGACTGAGGCTCCGACGGATCATAGGGAGGGAGTGGGAGCTACATCTGGTTCCAAAGATCCTCCCCACCAACAACATCACCCATTGTTACAGCTTGTTGCAAAGAGGTGCCTGTGGACCAACAGCATGGCCAGGAATCCTGGGCCCAGGTGTCCCCCACACCATGCATGGTGGGGGCACACTCAAGGCTTGATTCAGAATGTGTGTGTGGCCACGGCTGGGGTTTCATCCATGCCGGTTGATGGGCTGGAAAGTGAAGGGAGCAGACACATGCTGACCTCTTGCCTGCTCTTTTCAATTCCCGAAATGTTTTCCATGAAAAACAGGGACAGACTCGGCAACATCTGGCCGAGAGAACTTGGGATAAGCATCTGAGGAAAGAGAGCATCCCATCGCCCTGACAACAGCAAGCTGCCTCATGGGTCAGGAGTGGACCCGGTTGGATGCACGGCCAGTCCGGGCTCCACCACCCACGTGACCCCTGCACCACAGCACTGCTGTCCTGACCGCCCCTCCTCCTTAGAAGGGGCTGATAAGATGCTCTGAGGCCAGATGGGGGCGAGGGGAAGAGAAAAGGCTCCAGTCGGGAGAGCGCTCTGGCTGCATCTGCACCAACATGAAGCTCAGGGCTCCCTCCGGCGCTACAACCCAGAGCCTTCCGGCCACCGCACCCGGGGCGCAGGTCCTGGCTCTCAACAAGGGCCACACACTCGCAGCTCAGGCCCGTCGAGGGATAAAGACCATCGACCCCTTCCCTGTGGCCACATGGGCCGCTGACACTCATTGAGGAACGCGATGACAGCAGCCTCACGCCAACCACCCCTGGCTGAGGAGCAGGGCTGTGGCTCGGGGCCCAGCAGAGTCCACGGCTGCAGGTGCAGGTGAGGGCCTCCCTTAGAGGCCCGGTGCACAGAAGACCCACCCAGCTTCCCTCAGAGGCCCCGAGGACAGCTGACGTGGGCTGCCCTTGTCAGAGCCATCAGAGGCCGTCCCCATCACCCCCAGCACGCTCTTTACTCCCCTCTCCAGATGACCCTCCCCAGGGGCATCTCCTTCTGTCCCTGCTGCCTTAGGAGGCTCACAGGGGACATGCCTGCTCTGAGGTCACAGCAAGGTCATGGTAACCTTCGCCACTTACTCTGTCCAAGCAGTAGGACCTTCATCCTCCTCCCTCTCTCTTGGGGCTCTGGGACACCTAAACCCCTGGCCTCAGATAGGACCCTTCTCCCACACAAGTGGTCCGTAGGACTTGTGACCCCTGCGCAGCGGGCTGGCCCACCGCCCCATCCCCGGGGCAGGAGCACGTGACCCACCACCTCCCAACAGACGCACCACCTCCAAGGACCCACCGCCTACCTGCCGGGCCGTGTCCCAGGGGCAGGTGGCTGTGCAGGCTCGGGGCCATCTGTGCCTGCAGGCCTTGCAGGGCAGCCTGCAGCTCATCGCTGTGGTCCTGCAGGTCCTGTGGGCAGAGCCAGACACTTCCTCCAGCCACTGCGGCGACCAGGCCCAGGAGCAGGGCATGGAGCCGGCACCCGGGGAACAGTTCAGGCCCCAGCAGAGCGGGTCCTGACGTCCAGGACGGGGCACCGACACTATACCCGGGCACCAAAGTGCTCCGGGAGTAACACGGAGCAGGAGTCATTTCCCAACTTCTTATGCCTGGCACCACCTTCCATCACTGGACACACAGAAAGGACTCGGGGGGAAAAAGTGCAGTGAAAGTGAGAAATGGAGAAAACAGAGAGACCTTTTAACACCTGAAACCACAAGAGGTTAGGGGAGTATGCTCATAAGGGGTAGGGGAGATTTGGGGAGACATGAGGCTTAAGAGGAAGGGTCTCTGGGACCTTCCTGGCGGTGCAGCGGTTAGGACTGAGTGCTTTCCCTGCAGGGGATGCGGGTTTGCTCCCTGGTTAGGGAACTAAGATCCTGCAAGCTGCATAGCACAGAAGGAAAAATAAAAGAGGAAGGGTCGCGTCTGTAACAAGCATCGTTTATCCACCCAAAGAATGAAAGGTAACTCAGCAAGCCCACTTGGCACCTGTCTTGTGTAGGACCAGGAAGGGCGGCGTCTCCTGTCCGCTCTCCCAGGTGGTCCCTCAACCCGAGCACCACGTGCGCCCATGAAAGTCGGTCCACGTGCTCCTCCCCCCGCCTCGGGTGGGCCGTGGTCACCCCACCTGGAGGACGCCGCACGCGAGGCCACTTCCAGCTGGCTCCTCCCCCCGGGACCCTGCCTCTGGGGGAGGCCAAAGCAGCCAACACCAGGTGCAGCCTCAAGGCCCCACATCCCTCTCTGATTTTCCTTTTTTGGGGGCTGCGCCATGCCATCTGTAGGATTCTAGTTCCCCAAACAGGGATCACACCCGTGCCCCCTGCATCGGGAGTGCAGTCTTAACCACTGGGCCACCAGGGGAGTCCCTCCTCTCTGATTTTTTAATCTGAGTTTCCTCTGCAGGCAGCTCTTGTCAGTTCTTTCTGAACTCCCTGGAGGCCAGTGCCTGGCCTGTGCCCACACCCGCCCTGGGAGGAGGAGCCCCTAACCCACGGCTCTAGGCCACGTGGGAGAAGGGACAGGCCCTGCAGATCTTAGCGGAAGCGCATGTTTCCTAGGGTCACTGAACCTCCTTCAGAAACTCCTGAGCAAATATGCAATCTCCCCAGAGCGAGCACCTCTGTCCCAGGGGAAAGGGCAAGGCCAGGACGCGAGAGCTGCAGGGAGGCCCGTGGGGCGGTGGGTGTGTGCGCCCCGGCCCCCCGCCCCACAGTGACACCACACAGGCCACCGAGCATCTCTGACGTGGTCAGTCTGGATCGAGGTGTGCAGCAAATACTCTACAATGATCTTAAAGACCAGGTTCCCAAATAGGGACGCAAAATCTCCCACTTAAAATGTGATTATATTGATTACATGTTGAAATGACGACACCGTGAAAGTAATGGAGTAAATAAAATGTTATTAAAATCAATGTCACCTATTTCTTTTTACCTTTTTCTCTTTTTACCTTTTTTAACATGACCACTGGAAAACTTGCAAGTACACATGTGACTGTTATTTTTACTGAGCAGTGCTGACATGGCGGAAACATCAACAGAATCATTTCTACTCAATGCCCTGCCCCTTCAGTGGTTCCTTCTACCCCTCAAATGGCTACTGTAAGACCATAGACATGCCCCACAAATTCAGCAGAGCCAGAAAACAGGTCCTTAAGGTAATATGCTAGGCAGACTTCTCTGTTCTAAGCGCCTAAGGATGACATGCACTGTCCTGGGTCCCAGCCTGCCCATCCAGGCTGCATCCAGCAGGGCTGGGGAGCCAGGTGCCTGCTTTGGTGTGGGCCGCATGTGAATTTGGGGTGCCTGTGGATGCTGAAGGCAGTCACAGGGTGCTACCCCAAGAGCTGAGAAAGGCAGCAAGACTACTGCACACAGGGAAGCGCTAGGTCTGAGGGCTCTGGAACCTTCGAGGCTTCTCCTCTGGTTAGCTTTAGCAGGAGAGGTGAGCTCAGCAAGAAAGCAGGAGAGGGTGGGGTTTCAACAGCAGCTCAGAAAGCACTGGAGAGGAAGGCGGGGCCAGCCAGGCTGAGTCAGCACACACAGAGGGGCTGGCTGCCCAGACATTTGCACCGCTGTGTATTCAAAATTATTCTCAAATAAAAAAAAATTTTTTAACGTTCTCAATGCTAGTTTGAAACAGCCAAAAATATTCCCCCAAAAGAGGGAAAATCTCTAAATAAGTAGCACTAACATGTAAAATTTTTTTTTGCCAAAATTTCAAAAAGTAAAATTCAAGAATCAAAAGTGAAATGAGTAGCAACAGTTAGGTGACAGTCATGTGAAAAACACAAAGGGGGTTACACCTGTATGAAAAGATTCAGGTGCACTAAAGCAACGTATTAACTGCTGGTTAGTCACAAGTGCTCAAAGTGGGGGAGAAAACACAGCAGGAAGGATCCTTGAGTTCCTTCCAGAAAGTTAACCACAAACCCCCCACACCACTCAGTCTCTGATAAGGGTTACACAGGTGAGCACACACAGGACTGCAGGGGCACCGGGATTCGGGGTGTGGCGGGCAGGAGGCAGGGGTCACGTCACACTGCAGACCAGCACGGGCTCCCCTTTATCCTCTGGTGTGGCCAAAGCATCACGTGCAGAGAGAGAGTTCTTACATTAATCGGGAGGGAGACCATTAAGAAGCAAGTGAATACTAGACCCTTAACCCCAAACATCATGTTAATCTGCCGGAGTCATGGACAGTCTCCAGGGAGCAAGAGTGTGATGTTTCCCAGCAGGGACTGTTTGCCACCTACAGCCTGCTCTGCATGGTAGCAATGCCAGCTGAGTGGGCTCACATGTAGGTTTGGCCCAGGAAACGCATACACTCAACCACAGGAAACAAGATGAAGCCCTGCATGGTGCCCGGACACACACGGAGCCTTGGGACTGGGGTGAGCAGCCCGTGTGGCGCCGGGCACAGGTGCTGGGCAGGCAAAGTCCCAACTGCCTCCTTGCAGAACATGAGGCTCGGGAAATTCCATGGCACTCCAGTATTGAGGACTCCAAGCTTTCACTGCCAAGGGTGTGGGTTTGATCCCTGGTCGGGAAACTAAGATACCACAAGCCACGCAACACAGCCGAGACCTGGACCAGTCAGCAACTTCTGCACAGACCCCGTTGCTGGGGTCTTGGTAGTGGGGGGCATAGAGGAGTGCTTAGAAACCTGGCCCTTTCCATCACCTTGAGGGGAGGAGGGAGGGGAGGGAGGTGCAGGTTCCGTCCAAGGGGCTTCCCAACTGGCCGAGGCTCAGAAGACCTCAGCTGAAGGAGGCAGCCCGCATCAGAGGCTGTGCCCGCTCGGCTCATGTAGGGATGCCCCTGTGGACCCGGGCCGGGCGCCCCTCCACGTGCAGGCCAGGAGGTGGAAGGGGCCACCAGTCCTGAGCAGACAGCCCCTGACATTAACTCGGGCAGGGGGTCACTTACCCGGCACTTAAGCTCATATTCCTTCAGGATCTCTGAGAATCGCTCCTCCTGGGCCAGGAGTTCTGTGCTCTGTGGCTCCAGCTGAAAGACAGGAACAGGCAGGAAAATGAGGGCCAGGACCTCAGGCCAGGTACAGCGTGGGCTGTCTCCCCCTCCTACTGCCCCAACACACTCAGCATCTGCAGGCGCAGCCACCTGTCCCTCCTCTTCCTCCCTCCCCTTTGTTTAAAAGGTCTCAGGGCAGAAGGATGTTCGGAATTTCAGGAAGGTGGTCATGCTCCCATCTGGACCGTGGGCTGCCTTCTTGCCTCGGCCACTTGGGAGGCCCCTTGCACGGAACCTGCACCTCCCTCCCCTCCCTCCTCCCCTCAAGGTGATGGAAAGGGCCAGGTCTCTAAGCACTCCTCTATGCCCTCCACTACCAAGACCTCAGCAATGGGGTCTGTGCAGAAGTTGCTGACTGGTCCAGGTCTTGTCACCAGAAGGTCAACATGCAGGGCATTACTGGGATGTCACCTGCACCCCTGCACTGCCTGAAGGGGAGGAAAATACAGGCAAACTAGCCTTAATAATTTCCTCTCCATTACAGAATTCTAGGTTTCCCAGGTGGCACTAGTGCTAAAGAATCCTCCTGCCAATGGAGGAGATGCAAGAGATGCATGTTCAATCCCTGGATCAGGAAGATCCCCTGTAGTAGGAAATGGCACCCACTCCAGAATTCTTGCCTGGAAAATTCCATGGATGGAGGAGCCTGGCGGGCTACAGCCCATGGGGTCACAAAGATACAGACACACCCGAGTGACTGAGCAGCACATGGAAGTTTAGCAGAAAAACCCAATTCCGTCTCCTGTGTCTTCTCCATCAAGACCCTGATGCCCTTTACCCAGCACGCACAGGCGCTTCTCTGGGGACTCAGAGTCAGCAAGAGGACTTGCCTTGTCCTTCAACACAAACTCCAGGTCATTCTGCAGCTTCAGGACTAGCTTCTCTGAGTCTGAGAGCTTCTCCACGACTTCAATCATCTCCTTCTGCAATCGACTATTTTCCTACGAGACACAAGTCAGTGGTTGGCCAGCTCTGGGGATGGAGGAGGGAGCCAGAGGCAGGGCTCTGGAGCAGGAGCCCTGGGGGAGACTCTCCCGCCCGCCTGAGCTCTCGACAAGGTCATAAGCAGCGCGAGTGGAAGGCGGTGACAACCCGTCCAGAGCCATCTTTGAAAGGAGGGATTTGAAGCTGCACCGCAACAGTCTAGGAGTTCACCGGACTGAAGGCAGTGTCCGCAGACACAGGAAGCTGTCAGAAGGCAGGCCCGGCTTCTCCTCTAGGGGAGGGAGGCGAGGGAGGCAGGGCAGGTGAGGACAGAAACCACAGTCCTGAGTCAGGGAAGGAGAAGCAGGTGGGGCCGGGGCCACCTCCCTGGAAGCGAACACAGGTGGGGAGCAGGTCAGGGCCGCTCTCCACAGCCCCAAAGAGTACCCCCGATCTGGGTCACACAGCCAAGGTTGGGGGCGGGTGACGCTTTTGTCTTTGGTCGAGTGCTCTGGTCCCAGGGGGGCAGCCGAGGCGGCAGCCGCTGACCCAGAGCTGAGAGCCCCGGGGCTCCCATCCTGCGGCCCACATGGCTGCAGAGGAGGGCTGCACTCTCCTGGTGAAGCCAGGACGCTTCCGCTTCGGCTGAGCAACGGGCTCTCTCTGTGGTTGCAGAAAACGTTCTTTAGCGTCAAGCCCCCAGGGCCGCGGGGAGGGTCAGTCCTGGCCCAGGAAGGGGTGGGTGTGGAGGAGGGACCCCAGGGCAATATAGCCTCCCTCTTTTCGGGAGGAGGGCCCTGAGGAGGCACCCCGCCGCACCCTGAGCCCCCCTACCTTCAGGGCCAGGGTCAGCTTCTGGCGCAGGCCGGTCTCCTCCACCTGCAGGCGCCGCAGGTCTTCCTCCAGTCCGGCCCTCTGCAGCCGAGCCTGCTCCCAGAACAGCTCGCGTTCCACCTCCACCTCGGACCGCAGGAGGCTCAGCCTCCCCTGGTATCCCTGCTCCAGGCGTCTGCAAGGCACACGGCTCACGATGCATCGGGCTCCCCGGGGGCGCCACCTGCGCCTCTCCCTCCCCGGGGTCTCCCGTCAGCGCACTCGGCCTTGGCATTGGGGACTCGATTATTCCAACCTGATAGACGGGTGAGCTGCCGTGTTGTGGGGTGGTGGAGGCCTCATGAACTGCCCCCCTTGCCCCACACAGACAAGGGAGCCAGCGGATCCCTCGGCCCATGGGACAAGCTAGCAGGTGACCTCTGGGTGGGTCTCTGGCACCCCTTGGTCATTCAACCTTCTCCACGTCATCAAAAAATGCATCAGTAAATAAAGGCAGCATCAGGGCCCTTGGTGACTGAAGGCGCAGAGAAGCCAGCCTCCACCACAAGCCTTGGAAAACCAGCACACAGCAAATCCCAAGGCAGACAGAAGACAGGGCGGGGGCCCTTCCCCTCAGACGCTGCAGTGATCTTTTGCAACAACCATTCCAATCAGCAGGGAAAACAGTGCCAAACCTTAGCTTTATCACTAAAGCTAGTGGAGCTGAGCTATTTAAACTCCTAAAAGATGATGCTGTTAAAGTGCTGCACTCAATATGCCAGCAAATTTGGAAAACTCAGCAATGGCCACAGGACTGGAAAAGGTCATTTTTCATTTTAATCAAAAGGAGGGCAATGCTAAAGAAAGTTCACACTATCACACAGTTGCATATATTCCACATGTTAGCAAGGTGATGCTCAAAATCCTTCAAGCTAGGCTTCAACAGTACATAAACCAAGAACTTCCAGATGTCCAAACTGGATTTAGAAAAGGCAGAGGACCTACAGATCAAACTGCAAACATCCACTGGATCATCAAAAAAGCAAGAGAATTCCAGAAAAACATCTACTTCTGCTTCATTGACTAAGTTAAAAGTCTTTGACTATGTGGATCACAATAAACTGTGGAAAATTCTTCAAGAGCTGGGAATATCAGACCACCTCACCTGCCTCTTGAGAAACCTGTATGTGGGTCAAGAAACAACAGAACTGCACATGGAACAACGGACTAGTTCAAAATTGGGAAAGGAGCACATCGAGGCGGTATTTTGTCACCTTGCATATTTAACTTATACGTAGAGTACATCATCCAAAATACCGGGAGAAATAACAACCTCAGATACACAGATGATACCACTCTAACGGGAGAAAGCAAAGGGGAACTAAAGAGCCTCTTGATGAGGGTGAAAGAGGAGAGTGAAAAGTTGGCTTGAAACTCAACATTCAAAAAACTAAGATCACAGCATCCAGTCCCATCACTTCATGGCAAATAGAAAAAGAAAAAGTGGAAGCATTGACAGATTTTATTCTCCTGTGTTTCAATCCCAAAGAATGTTCAAACTACCAAAACAACTGCATTCATTTCACATGCAAGCAAAGTAATGCTCAAAATCATTTAAGCTAGGCTTCTACAGTATGTGAACCGAGAACTTCCAGATGTACAAGCTGGATTTAGAAAAGGCAGAGCAACCAGAGATCAAATTGCCAACATCCACTGGGTCACAGGGAAAGCTAGAGAATTCCACAAAAAAACATAACTTCCGCTTCATTGACTATACTAAAGCCTCTGACTGTGTAGACCACAACAAACTGCAAAATTCTTAGAGAGATGGGAACACCAAGCCATCTTATGTGCCCCCTGTGAAACCAGTATGCAGGTTTCAAGAAGCAAAAGTGAGAACTAGACATGGAACAATAGACTGGTTTGCAATTGGGAAAGGAGTACGTCAACGCTGTATATTGTCACCCTGCTTGTTTAACTTCTATCAAGAGTACATCATGTGAAATGCCAGGCTGGATGAAGCACAAGATGGAATCAAGATTGCCAGGAGAAATATCAATAACCTCAGATATGTGGATGACACAATCTTTATGGCAGAAAGCAAAGAGGAACTAAAGAACCTCTTGATGAAAGTGAAAGAGAACAGTGAAAAAGCTGGCTTAAAACTCAACATTCAGAAAACTAATATCATGGCATCCAGTCCCATCACTTCATGGCAAACAGATAGGGCAACAATGGAAACAGTGACAGACTTTATTTTCTTGGGCTCCAAAATTACTGCACATGGTGACTGCAGCCATGAAATTAAATGATGCTCGATCTTTGTAAGAAAAGCTATGACCAACCTAGACAACATATTAGAAACAGAGACATCACTTTGCTGACAAAGGTCCGTCTAGTCAAAGCTATGGTTTTTCCACTAGTCATGCATGGATTCGAGAGTTGGACCATAAAGAAAGCTGAGTGCCAAAGAATTGATGCTTTTGAACTGTGGTGTTGGAGAAGATGCTTGAGAATCCCTTGGATAACAAGGACATCCAACCAGTCCATCCTACAGGAAATCAGTCCTGAATATTCATTGGAAGGACTGATGCTAAAGCTGAAGCTCCAATACTTTGGCCACCTAATGCCAAGAGCCAACTCACTGGAAAAGACCCTGATGCTTGGAAAGATGGAAGGCAGGAGGAGAAGGGGATGACAGAGGACAAGATGGTTGGATGGCATCACTGACTCAATGGACATGAGTTTGACCAAACTCCAGGAGATGGTGGAGGACAGGGCAGCCTTGTGTGCTGCAGTCTGTGGGGTCACAGAGACTCGGACATGACTGAGTGACTGAACAACAGCGTCACTAAAACAGCTGCTTAACAGGATTCTCCAACCCAGTGTATCCAGACTGAAGACGAGTGGGAACTCTTATTTCACAGAGCCTGGTTGGGTCCACAATCAATGGATTGTGGTCGGAATCAGAAATGATTGACGCGGCCTCCCTCAGACTCACCATAGAGCTTTGGGGCGCAAGGGCAGCTGTCATTCAGGGAAACAGTTTGATGAGCGAGATTAACCTAACAGCCTGCACATCTTGGGGTGAGTTTTACAAACTTGATCATGTAACTTCCCTCTTGAAAGGGGAAGGTGCAGTAACATATGCCAGAGCCTCATGATGGGTCCTCTGTGGCCATCAGAAAGTATATGCAACATGACACCAACGACACCTCTATGAAAGTGACCACATCCACAGAAAGAAGCAAGGCACTCAGGAAAATGTTAGGAGTGATAACCTCTGTGGACGTGAAATGTTTGCTTTTATTTTTCCTTGTAAGTGTATTTTCTAAGTTTTCTACAATGAACATGTATCCCTTAATACTTTTCTATTAGAGTAACCTAACACAACTACAAATGCTATTTCTAAAAATGTACCGCTGATACTGTGTTACTCATGGAGCAAAATCCAAACACCCACATGGCCCTCGAGGCCTTGTGTCCCACAACCAGATTCCTGGATGGAGATAACAAGTCTCCAGTTCTCTGATGCAGAAAGAACTTCGCCAAGTCCCTTTGGGGTGGTCGGGAGAATCAGGTGAACCAGGCTGAGACCAACGCAAATCCATTCTCAGCTCCCCGATTGGTGGCCTGAAATAAGTTGCCATCAACTTGTGGGCACTTGGGGAGGGCAGCGCTGGCCACAGAGGAAGGGCGTGTGCAGTCAGGCTGCTCCCCAGCGGAGAGCCCCACGGAGCCCCACAAGGCACAGCCCCGTGTGGGTCCAGGGGGACCCGGCGCCTACCCTGTCTGAGATGGGGCCGATGCAGCCATGGCAAAGAACCACAGGGAGGCAAGTGGCACATTGAGAGACAGGGGAAGACTTTCATAAAGGTCAGAAATGCTTTCCTCTGATCTGTCCACCATCCGCCCTGGCCCAGGACCCTGGCAGAACCTACCTGACCTTCTCCTCCGCGAGCTGCTCCAGGGCAGAGTGGAGGTCGTCCGTCTCTTTCACAAACTCCAGGTTCCTCTGCTCAGCTTTCTCCAGGTCTTGCCTCGCCTTATCTCGCTCCCTGGCCATCTGCTCCACCTGCTCCCTGAGGAAAGGAGGGAGGGGTGACTGGGGACACTGCTCTGGGCCTAGGGAGCTGGTCTGAAGGAACAAACTCAGCTGGCCTAAGAGTGCTGAGCAGTGGCTGGCACTGGGCTCTAACCCACCTTCTGTGCATGCGTGCCAAGTCACTGCAGTTGTGTCCAACTCTGTGCAATCCTATGGACTGTAGCCCTCCAGGCTAATCTGTCCATGGGATTCTCCAGGCAGGAATAATAGAGTGGGCTATCATGCCCTCCTCCAGGGAATCTTCCTGATACAGGAATCGAACTCGCATCTCTCACCCCTCTTACACTGGCAATCGGGTTGCACTAGCATTGGCAAGGGGGTTCTTTACCTCTAGTGCCACCTGGGAAGCCTGACCCTCCTCCTACCAGGATGGTTTCTGCAGTTATTGAGTCTGTTTTACAGAAGTAAATATAGCAAGAAGCCAAGTGGCTTGCAATGGGACTTCTAGCAGGTTTCTGAATCAAAGGTTCAAGCCTGGTGCGTGCAGTGTTCACCCCTCCAGATGGCCTTAGAAGAGGTGGGAAATTATCCTCGCTCGGTCTTGCCTGCAGCTGGGCCTCGGACCCAGGGATCCCCAGCACCCAACCTGGGACTGGACGCATGAAGGGGAGAAGGCTGGCCACCCGTTATCCTGCCTGGTCACAGCCTTGCCACCTGTAGCCTGGCACCTGAGTAAGTGCCAGGGAGTTGCCCAGAGCAGAAGTGACGCCTGTCTCTGTCCGGTCACCCCAGGCCCTGCCCGAGGCTCAGTCCACCAGCTATCCTGGTGCCTGTTTCTCCCACTGGAGAAGCACCAAGCTTGTCTCCCTTCCTCATCCTCCCAAAGCAGTCTTCCTCTGCGCACCTCTGCAGAGTTGCCTGACGTCAGAGGTCTCATCTGTTGGTACCTAACGAGATGCACAGTCGTGAGGATGGAGACTGGAATTACTGCCAACCTTTTCTGTAGCTTCAGAGTATCAATAAAAACACAATAACAATCTCTATGCCAACCGGCTCAGTAGATGGATAGCCTGAGTATCCAGCTCAACTGGAGCCAAATCAAATTAAAATGGAACGCATTCTTTGGCCAATTGTCATGCCATGGTTTGTGACCGTGCTGGAAGCACCCTTTCTTGTCCTGCAGGCTGCCCATGCCTTGGGCGAGGAGGCCAGCCTGGCCAGCGGCACCCCACACCCACCCCCCAGCGGGGCTCTTACTGGCAGAAGCTCAGCTCCTGGCGGTAGCAGGCCAAGGCTGCCTTCTGGGCGGCACCGTCCACCATCATGAGCTCATTCTCCAGGGCCCAGGTCAGCTCCAAAAGGTTCACCTTCTCGTCCACACTGAAGTCAAGGCTCTGAAAACAGCACGGCCCATCGGACAGGCAGGATGAGTGGGTCTCCGGACACCTGCTGGCTCCCACAGGCCAGACTTCACTGTCCCAGTACCTTCCTTTTCTGTCTGCAAAGTCTCCATCTCTTGAGTGGAGCCTCTCGCCTGCTCCCATCCCTCTGGGGTCCCTCTCCCCAGGTCCCTGTCAACACTGAGGTCCCCCTCCCACTGTCAACATACAGCTCCTCCCCTCACTGTCCCTGCCTCGGAGGTGGGCATGACTCAGGCTGGACAGAGTCCCCCTTCTTGGACAAAGGCACAGACAGAGAAGGGGGCAGATGCAAGCAGAGAACTTTGGGGACTGATAGGCTGGAGAAGGGCTTTGTCTCTGCCAAAGCAAGTGTTGTATAGACACGGGGTCCTGGGGAGCAGCGCGAGGGTGCTAGACCTGAAGTCAAGACTAAGAAGCCAGCAGAGTCCTGACAACTCCCAGAGACGGAACCCCCCAAGCCTAAACATCCTCCTTCTTCCCCAACTGATCACAAAGACCCCTGATGTCCTCCTCTTGCCCAAGCCAGTTTGAGTTGAGCTCTTGCCATGTCAGACACAAAGAATCCTTAATATAGCTCTAAACAGCACGAACAGACATAGGAACAACACGGGTTCTGTTGGTGGAAACATGATCGATAGTGCGATGAGCCACGGCCAACCATTTCTGAGACTCACAGCCATTCTCCCTAGGGACTGCGGAAGGTAAAGTTGAAGGAACAGAAAAACTGTGCTTTCTATATTTTACCACAGTAAGAAAAAGAGCAGGCCAGGAAGGCCCACGCACCTGCCTGCGGCCTAGTGATAACACTGGTGCGGGGGCTGCTCTCCCAGCGATTGGTGCTTGTGACCACAAGTTGCAGACACACAGGTGGGGCAGCGCCTATGGGGAAGCCCTTCCTGTAAACCGGGAGATGGGGACTTGAACCTCCATGCTTTTCCATGGCCCCGAGAGTTCTGGGAGAAAAATGACAGGACACTAAAGCCTGCGGAGCAAACCGGAAGCTGCCTCCACGACATGCTGAGAGCACGCTTCTCAGCAATGAAATCACGGTGGGCGCAGAGGACACAGGGCTTTGGGCAACAGCTTCCAGATTACAAAAACATGTGACACATGTGGGCGCCGCCTCCTGGTGTCTACCACCACGTGCTGCAGTCACTAAGATGCCCGCCTGTTTTCCAGGACCGAGGATCGGCTCGGAGGCCGACACGCACTGTGCGGTGAGTCTGAGATACTGAAACTTACCCTCTAAGGGATTTGTTTCAGGCTGTGGGCTTTCTCTGCTGTTTACTTATTATGCTTTTAAGTTAAGATGTCCTACATATTGATATCAAAAAATCAAGAGTGAGGATGACGGGCCTTCCCTCTATGGGGCCTGTGTCTGCGAGGTTCTCTGTCCAGCCGCCCTCATGGGCAGCGGCTCCACCCATGCTCCCACCCAAACGCCTCTGCTGAGACAGCTGCATGACCGGCCCCTACCTGCAGGACCTCCCTGCCATTGTGAACGCCCTCCTGGGCCCACAAGGAGATGATCTGCTCCGGGAAGGCGAACCCGCTGCCGTCATCCACGCTGCAGAAGAGGCGGGGGCCGGAGCACACGGACACGAGGGACGACGTGGTGGTCTGGCCAACACTCTCCTCCCTGACCTGCACGCGGGGACCAGCGCCATGAGGACCGCGGCCTCCTCACGCACCTTCTGTGACCTCACCACCTGTGCTCGGCGGGCGCGGCCTCCCCCTGACTCCTGCTGCAGGGAACAGGGTGCCAGGAGGACCTGCGGGGACTGCAGGCTCCACAGAGATGACCGGAGCACAGAGCTCAGGGCTGTCTGCCTGAGGCCGTGCGGGGGGATGCACATGCGGGGCCACCCAAGGGAACGTTTCTCTGAACAAGCAATGGCTTCCCGCCTGTCCTCCCAGAAGGTGGGCCTGGGAAGGCACACGCCAGCCAAGGGAAACCCAGTCTGTGCAGAGAAACCCAAGATGGGCTTCAGAAGAGGCGGGGCGGCCTGAGCGGAGGGCACGTGTCCTCAGGATTCAGGGCGGGAGACAAGGGCATAAAACTCCCTCAGCTGGAAAGCTGATGGGTGAGGCTGAGGTGAGGCCAGGAAGCTGTGCTTCCCGCCCCAGGGAGGGCCCTGGGACACGCATTTGCTGCTGGGACCAGAACAAGGAGGAGCAGCGGCGCCCTCCTCTCTGCGGCTGGTGTCCCCGGACCACCAGACCCAGGGGCTCCCCTGATGGAGCAGGAGAACCTCGGTCAGTTGTGCGAGGCCCCACACTGGTGTCCACACACACAGGACGTGGCCCCGTTGCCACGTCAGTGCTTCCTGCCGAGGCCCCTGAGAGGAGCCCTCCTCCGCGGGCTCTGGGCACTATGCCGTCCCTGCCCTCAGGTGGCCGGGCACTGTCCTCACTACCCCCGACTCCTTCCCTGTCTCAGTGGCTTCAGGGGCAGAAACCTGATTCTTGGCCGCGCCCAGCCCAGCAGAGAACAAGGCCACTGTTTCTGCACTGCCGCCCACAAACTACAAACTACAGGATCAGCCACGTTGCCAAAGAGGCGGCAGCAAGACTCCCCAGGACAACTGTGCCCTGCGGTGAGAGAAGAGGCCCTGACCACCCCGAGACAGAGATGAACCGAATGTACCGGCCAACATCACAGGTAAAGAAAATCTGCTTGCCTCTGGCTGGCCTCGTGAAGGATGAAAATCAGGACAACGTGATGGGGAGAACACAGCTCCAGGAGAGCCTAGAGGGCTAATCCCAGGGAAGGCATGGCCCTAATAGTGACTCTGCCCTCCAGGGAAGAGGGACCAGGTGCTCTGGGTGGAACGCAGTGTACCCCAGGGGATCCACGTAAGACCCCTATGAGGTGCGTCCACTGTACAGATGGGGAACGTGAGGCACAGAGAAGGCGAGCAGCTCACCAGTGGCGCACAGCCAGGCATAAGTGATGTCAGGTCAGGTCACTCCGAACGCCTCCCAGCACCCACTCTGGGGACCAGGCAGAGAGCTCAGGCCTTCAGAAGAGTGACGGCAGTCACCGTGGGCTTCAGGAGTTAACCGCCCCACCTTACCTGGTAATGAGAACCGGACCGGCTGAGTTTGACGAGTGGGGCCAGCTCCAGCGGTCGAGGGGACCCATGATTGAACAGGCCAAGCTGGAACTCCTCCAGACTCACTCTGCCGTCCCCATCTTGGTCCAGCTTGTTGAACAGGTCTTCAAGTTCCTAAATAAAAGCGCCTCAGGCATCGGCTCAGAGGTTGCTCCCGAGCAGCCTTGACCACCCTGCCCAGTCTCAATGCCCACCCTCCCCAAGCAGGCAGCTTGCTATCAGAGAACTGGCTTCCTGGCTGTGGCTGGTGAAATCCACACGCCTGGTCAGTTTCCACCAGCTGTGAATGGTCACCTGACCATCCTGCATCTCCCAAACACCCACCCCGAGTCCGCTGTGAGGGAGTCTGCTGGGACATGTATGTGTGGAACATGAGTGTACAGAATCCCAGTGATTTGGGGTCAGCAAGGTGGGGCCTGTCCCATCACACTGCCCCTCCTCCCCTGGGCCCCAAAGGAGGGAAGGGCTGAACACAGCTGCTGGGGGGCACAGCCAGAGGCCATGGGCACCACCCTTGGGCTGGGCAGTAGGCCAGAGAGGGAAGAGAGCTCCAGGCAGAGGAGCGTCCTGTGTGAAGGTGGCCGGAGACAGACCCTCAGCACAAACCCCGGGAGTCAGCACAAGATTTTAGGTTGGACAGTGACAACCGAATCAGTGGCTGAGGCTGAAGGGGTTTTCCAGGCCCAGTACCAACCACAAACACCCAGCCCTTCGGGGCGGTCCATCCCATCCCCTCTCACCTCCTTTGCCAGGCCCTGGAGCCCGATGGTCTGGCAGACCAGGGCCAGCTCCTGCTCTGTGAGGTGTCCGCAGCTGCCCACACCCAGCTCTTCCCAGAGGCCCCGGACCCGGCTTTTGAGGGTGTCGAAGGAGAGGCTGCGGGGTTTCCGGGGGCTGCCGAAGACCTCGGAACCCCAGGTTGGCAGCTGGCCTGAAGCAGGGGAAACACACCAAGGTGGTACTTTACTCCGAAATCAGATGGACTGACAGATGGGCAGACTGACACATGGGAGAGTCAAGCTTCCGATGGTGGCTACACGGGGCTCACCGTGCAATTCTTCCAATTTAATTCTATGCAAAATTTCACAATAAAAGGGGGGACTCTGCTGCACGTGGGGAAGGCATTTTCTGAAGGGAGCCTACAGAAGCTGTGGCACTGGGAGCACGCCTACAAGGTTTGTACTTAGAATAAAAAGTCCAGGTTTAAAAAATTAAGGTCTAGAAGCTCTTTAAACCTGCCCAAAGCAAACAGCACAGTCCAACAAAGCCCAATGACCCTGTCCCTTGGACAGCCTCTTGCCCTGGCTTCATCTACACGTTTGTTCTTCCCCATGTATTTTTTGCTTTTCTAATATTTATTTGGCTGCCCTGGGTCTTGGTTGTTGCACGATCTTTTTAGTCGTGGCATGCAAACTCTCAGTTATAGTATGGGGGCTCCAGTTCTCAGACAAGGGACTGAGCCCGGGCCCCCTGCACTGTGGGCGTGCGGAGTCCTAGACAATAAATCACGGCTGAAGTCCCTGGCCCAAGTATTTGAAGGCAAATCCCAGCTGCCATGTTCTCACCCGAGTGTTTCGTATGCACTCCTGACCCCAGTGGGACGATGGCCCTACAACCCAACAACGACGTCCCAGTTCTCTCCCAAGTCTCCCGACAGCTGATTTCTTCAACTCAGCATCAATGCAGAACCCTCCCTGTGTGTGTGGTTACTCCCCCAGAGTTGCTGATCACCTCCCGCCCGCCCCCTAGTCCCCGTCCTCCTGGACCTCCATCCCTAACATCTCCTGTAAACAGGAACTTAGCACCAAATGGTAGTTTGGATGCAGGTTGAGTGTTATCTATTTTCTTTTTTTTCCCACAGCAAAAACACCCCAAGGTGGGCTGTTTCCATACCACCTCACATCAGGAGCCATTAGTGTCTTTGAGATGCAGACTCAGCAGCGAGTCCGGGTGAGAGACGGCCAGGTTTTGTACCCTATCTAGGTTAGCCAGGTGCTTACTGAGGTTTCTGAAGCTTGGCCACAGAAACACCCTTTAGGAGAGGACAGACCTTGGGGTGCCCACAAAGAGCTCTCTTTAGATAAGCAAGGCTTCAAAGCAGAGCTCCCTCCACACCCAGACTGCACCACCCTGCCCGGCACAGGATGAGGGTCCCCTGCACCTGACCAGACCCCGGCTCTCGGTCAGTGGTCTGGAGCTCTCCAGAGAGGAGTCATCTTGGCATTTACTGTGATAACCCAACTAATAACCAGAAAGTCCTTTCCTGAGGAATGCTAGGTTTCCTTGCTCATGAATGATGCTATATATCGGCTTGAGGAAAACACAAGGGGAGGGCCACTTCCAAGACCCCTTCCAGCTTAAAACATCTGAAACGTTCTAGGTAAAAATGGAAAAACGGGAGTTCTCTGATGGTCCCGTGGTTAAGAATCTACTTTGCAATGCAGTGGACTCGGGTTCGATCCTTGCTCAGGGAACTCAGATTCCACGTGCACTGGAGCAACTAAGCCTGTGCCCTGCAAATAGAGAGAAACCTGAGCACTGCGATGAAAGGTCCCAAGTGACGTATGAAGATCCTGCAGGCTATGGCTCAGACCTTACAGCCAAATAAATACATTTTAATTTTAAAATTAAGTAAATAAACAAACGCAGGAACCAAAAAAAGGGAAAAGCAATTCTGACACCAGGGTGTGTTCTCGGGGCTGGCAGACAAGGTGAGTAAGTCCTCTGAGTTAAGTCTGTGCACGAATGTCGGTTCTAACCTGGATGGAAAGAAGAACCCAACATGTTTCTGGGCAGAGAGCCCAAAATCACTCAGTGCATAACCTCCCCAGAGCCCTTTCTCTCGTCCCCTACATTTACTCTGAGTCCAGTTAATTTAGGAACTGATTTTTGGACACAAAGAGGTCCATCTGCTTCATCTAGTAGCACAGACACATGGTTCATTCGCCTGATGTCCCCATGCTCAGCGCTGAGCCAACAGCAGCCTCGGCCCCTGAGGACCACAGTCTGGACGATGCTCTCACTCAGGAGAAGCCCCAGGTCAGTTCTGGCCTCCCGCTGGAGCTATAATCCTGCACATTCTGCCCTGTGACTCACTCTGGTGAGAGGCGTCCTTACGGAACCCGCACATCCACGTGCTGATGTACCCAGCGTTGCTGAGCACACCTGTGACTGCCTTCCAGGAGCTCCTCCAGGTTTCCAGGACCAGAGCCACGTCTCGCCCTCCACTTGTGGCACATTTGTGGCCTCTGGTGAGGGGGGAGGATGCTGGTCCAGGCCTGGCACATTAGGAAGGGGTCCCCTGACCCATGCCTGCTGGTCGGGAGGATCACTGTGACCCTAGCCAACCAATTAGCTGCTCTCTTAGCCAGCAGTCCCTGCCCAAGGGTCTGACCTCAGGAATCTCAGAGCTGGGACCTCCCCAGGAGAAGTGCACCCCAGAGAGATCACCCACACTGGGCATCTCCCAGGAAATTCTCCTTCGCTGGCAGCCTGCTGCCTGACAGCCCAGCACTGACCAGAGGGGACATCACCACAAGGCCAGGCTTTACCTTGGGCTTCAAACAATTCATTCTGAGGCTCCTTCGCACTGTCGGCTTCTTCATCAGACTTGAGACTCTGCAAAAACAGAAAGAGAAGGACATCAGCCACGATTAACCCGCAGAGGGTGGATCTGCCCCGTGGATGTCCTTTCTGACTCGGAGGCCCGAAGGCTCCCACAGTGGACAGCTCAAGGAGTCTCAGTGAGGGCCCTGGAGGCATCCATCACGAGCCCGCCAAGTTGTGCAGGGTGAGCCTTGGTCCAAATGCTGGACGCGGGTGACCGTGGCTGTGGCACACCTGCTTTTTCTGCCCTCAGCCGAATAACCTTCCCTCCTCCTGCAGGGCCAGGGGAGGGTGGTGCTGAAGAGGGGATCCTCCGAGGCCCCCGTTTCTGAAGGAGGATGTTCCGTGGCCAGAACTGCCCTGCAGACAGGGAGACCCAGAGACACCTAAAAACCGAATGGAGGTCCCCAAATAGCCCCTCTTCCAGCGATGAGATGCCCTCTCCCATCCTCCTGTGTCCTGGAATGTGAGCAGTGACTGGGGGAGGTGCCCAGGGGGGGTCCACCCACCTCCACGCTTTCCAGGGAGGCCGAGCGGCAGAGCTGGCTCCTCGCACTGGGTCTGACCGGCTGCTCCGGTAAACCTGGGGCTCCACCTGCAGGGCCACAGGGCTCGGGCTGGCTCCGACAACCGGACCACTTAGAGCCACTCACGTCCTCTGAGGGCATAGCCCGGGAGGCAACTGGAAAGAAAATGGGAGGTGTGTGGGGCTCTTTGAAACAGACTCTGGGCCCACTTGTGCTTACGAAGATGCGGATTCGGAGGTGCGATGTGGCCCTAGGGGACAGACAGAGAAAACGCCAGAAGAACACAGGGAAGGGCCAACGTGGGGCTGGGGCTGAGCCAGCCAGGCTGGGAGACAGGACTTTCCATCCTAAACGTTCGGTGCTGCTTCAGCGTTTCCAAGCAAAATATGCTTTTGCTATGTGATAGAAAACTAATTTAAAAATCTAGATTTTTACACAAAGAAATAACCTTACAACAATCCAAGTGCTCTAGTGACCAGAAGGTCATTTCCCACCCACTTGACCCCACCCCACTAGAGGACCCCACCTGGACAGGACACAGAGGCAAGGCCCTCAGCACAGTCAGGAAGGCTCAGACTCCGCATGGGTTGAAAGTCGGGGGCAGAGGCAGGTGTGGACTTCGGCTAGGGATTCATGAGGCTCCCTCAAGCCCTAATACACCCCTGCACTTCCTTCTTCCCTCCTTCCCTGCCCACATCTGCGGAGCAATGGGGACTCCGCAAGCAGAGAAGAAATGACACTGCCTCTGCAGGAATCTGAGTGGCCAGAGAGACTGGGGAGTGGGGGTGCGGCCTGGGCTGTGACCAGGAGAGAACGCGGGTTCGAAGGGAAGCACCCAGAAGGGGCCAGTTGGAGAGAAAGGCAAAGGGTCCCAGGAAGCAAGGCCAGGCCAGGAAAACAGACCATTTCACACAGGTGGGTCATGGTCCCAGGGACTAACTACCACCTCGTCTCTCTCATCCTCACCCGAAACTGGCCCGCAGCCTCTGACCTTGGGAGCATCAGAGGAGGAGGCTGGGTCCAACCGGGCCTCCAGGAGAAACAGTGATGCCAGCAACGCACAGAAACTGAGGACAAGGAAGGAGTCTTGGGAACAAGATGCCAAGTTCCATGTGACAGAGGACATCGAGGGCAGGATGACCATGTTCCTGGACCCTGTGGGTTATCATGGGCAGGGTCCAGCCCTGTACACTCTCCCCACGTAGGAACTCCCGGGGCTGCTGGAGAGGGAGCAGCCCTCCAGCTGTTCCCACTGACAGGGAGGAAATGAGAGGCTTGAGGACCCCATGCAGAGAGCAGGGGCCTGCATGCAGGCTCCGTACCTGCTCTGGTTTCTGTCTACACACAGGCTGTGGCTGGTTGCTGAGTAGGGAGCAGCGGGAAGCGAAAGGCCATGTCAGGTGGGAGTGGGCAGCGGGGACACACTCGGGAAACCAGGTGCGCCTGATGGCAGGCAGACCCCCGCCTGGGGCTCAGCAGCTCGGCGCTCACTGGAGGTCGTGACCCAGCACCATGTCTGTGCCCTTGGCCTGAGTGGGCTCCTGCCTCTCCCCTCCTGAGATTCCCCGGTCCGCGTCCGGAGGCCCCCCTGCCCTTGATATGGTACCCCTTTCTTCCTTGTTTCGGTTGCTCAGCACTTTCCTCAGAGCAACAAGACGCTCATAAATCACACACCAGTTCATAAATGTTCTCCAAAAGTGTCACTTCCTCCCTCCACCAGGCGGAAATGAGCCTCCAGAAAAGTGTGTCCATGTGGCAAATCAGGCCAGGAGGGGGCAGCATCTCACCACCCACAGAGCACAGAGTTTTGGCCTCTCAGTGCGAAGCTCTGGGGGTCATGGCCAGTCCCCACCCACTGCCCAGACGGCCGGCAGACCACAAGGTCAACCCAGCCTTGTGCCTCCTGTGTGTGCATATTTATTCATAGGAGCAGAATGCCAAACTCTGCAAGTTAAAAATGCATTGGTTTAGGATCTCCCAGGTGGTCCAGTGGTTGGGACTCTGCCCTGCCAATGCTGGGGGCAAAGGTTCAATCCCCAGTCAGGGAACTAATATCTCACCATGCTGAGAGGCGTGGCCAAAAGATTAAACAAGCCCCAAAAAAACCCAACCAACAAAAATATTTGGTTATGTGTTCTGTGATGGCCTTCACTGAAGGAGCAGGACTACTGAGAAGCAGAATGTTCTTCAAAACTCCAGGCATTTGGCCCCAGGGTGCCACGCACATTCCCGGAGCATCAAAGCATATGTTTCCAACCCTGGCATGAGTCGCTGGCAAGGACCAGCAGGCAGATTAGAAAGCCAGAGAGAGGGATGCTGTGGATTCGCCGGGGAGGCAGGGATGAAGCCCATGGAGGAGACCGGGAGGGTGGCCCGCATGGGAAGCACACAGCCCCGGGGGGCGGGGGCAGGGCTCACTGGGCTCTCACAACAGGGGCCGCCCGTGTGCACCAGCCCTGGCCGAGCCACCTCAGGCAGGCCTATGACTGACCCACCCGCTGACTGGGTAACTGAGGAAAGCTCTGAAAATTCAAAGAAGAGAAAAACAACACAAAACAAAACGGGCGTTGGCAGAGAAAAGCACCAGTCACGAAGAGGACACAAGTTGCCGACTCACAGGAGTTCAGCACAGAAAAGGGAGCGATGACACGGGCGTGGCCTTTCGCAGCCACCTTCATGCCCAGGGTGACGCGATCACACCCCAAATCAGGAAAGGCAAGTGGCCTTCTTCCCACCTCAGGGAAGAGAAACGTGAGACAAAGCAACCAATGATCGGACCCTTCAGGTCCCAGGGCGGCCCGCTGACAAGCTGACTCCTCCCCTGGTCAGACTACTCACCCAGTCAGACTCCCTTTGCGCCTGCACCCGTCATGCCCCACCCCCTTATCAGACAACTCTCCCGTCAGGCTCTTCCCCAGTCAGGCTCCTCTCCCCTGGCTGACTCATCCCCCGGGGCAGACTCCGCCCCCGGATCAGACTCCGCCCCCATTCTGACTCCGCCCCCGGATCAGACTCCGCCCCCGGATCAGACTCCTGCCCCATCAGCCTCCTCTCCCCCAGGTCAGGGCTCCCACGTGGCTCCAGCAGGGGGCGGTGGGACACCAACGGATTTCAGTCCCAGGGGAGACCGCTTCCCCAAGGGCCTAGCTCCAGACTAGAAAACCTCACCTGAGTAATGGATATGATCAGCCATAGGATTTCAGGGGTGGGGGGCGCTGGGGGGCTCACTGGAATCTACATGAAAGGTACATAAGCCCCAAACCTCCCAATGGCACCCGCTGCCCGTCATGCACCTGCTCCTGACCAAGGACCCTCCCGGGGTCTGGGAGCCGACCAGGGGCATGTGCGGGTCAGACACCTTGAACTCCTGCCCCGTGGGGGAGGGAGGGACCCGCTGGCCACTGCACTCTCCCTCCCAGTACTCCTCAGATGCAGCCCCGACCAGTCAACCAGCCAGAGCACAGCAGGCGCTGCCAGCCAAGGAGCTGGCCCATCTTCTAAAGAGCACGTCTGCCATCACCTTCCCACTGGACCCACAGGCCACACCTCCAAGCGGGCCTCCCTCCAGAATTCTCCCTTCACCTCCTGACCAGTATCAAAGCCCTTCTTCGCTAGTTTTGAAATATTACCTTTGTTCCACTGACCCCGCTGGAAACCAGGATTCTAACAAGTCCCAGGAGCACAGAGCACTATTGTCTGAGACAGAAGACAGGCGGAGGGCTGCCTCAGCTGGTGGCATCCTGCTTGCTCCACCAGGCTCCCAGCCTGGCCAGCACCTTACACCTGCACTGCGCTTTGGATGATCAAATTCTTCCACCTCTCCACACCCACTTTATCTTGTCTACACCCTTCACTGTAAGGACATCACTAGATATTACTTGAAATTTGTGAGATTGTGACTTATAATAAATATGAATTTGGTCTTCCTCCCATCCCTTGCACAGCTTCTAAAACTCTTGGAATTTCCTAGGTAATGAGAGCAACCACACCCAAGTTTATGCTTGGTTTATAAGCTGACTTTGAGAACCACACCTTGAGATGGGCTGGTTGCCAGGGAAACCAACGATGTGATTAGAGGTTGGTACTTTCAGCCCTAGCCCTGACCTCTAGGGAGATCAGAGGCTGGATGTTGAATTCACTCACTGATGCCCCATCACTGGATCAGTCATGACTGTGTAATGAAACCTCCATAAACCCCAAAAGGACAGCATTCAGAGACCTTCTGGGTTGCTGAACACGGGGAGACCAGGGATGAGTGAGCCCTGGAGAGGGTGTGGGGGCTCTAAGCCTCTTCCCACAAGCCCATGCATCTCTCACCCCGAGTTACATCCTTTTGCAATAAACCACTGATCCAGTAATGGGTTTCCCTGAGCTGCTCTAGCAAATTAATTGAACCTGAGGAGGCCGTGGGCACCTCCAATCTTTAGCCAGTGGGTCAGAAGCACAGGTGATAAGCTGGACTTGAGATTGTTGTCTGAAGGCATTGCTGTCTTAGCCTGTAGGGTCTGCAGCTGTGTCCAGGGGCATGGTGTCAGAATGGAGTTGAACTGCAGGACACCCAGCTGGTGTTGCAAAATGGCCTGGTGCAGGGGAAACTACACAGATCTAGTGACCAGAAGTGCCCGGGTATTCAGAGGATTTTGTGCAGTGCAGAGGAAAACATGAGTTTTCCCCTTACGGAACCATTTCACAAATAAGGAAGCCAAAGAAGAAAAAAACCCACGTGCTGCAGTCCATGGTCCCAGTCCATGCAGCTGGGGAACACAGACCTGCTGCATTGTTCAGGTACAACATCATATTCCAGAAGTCACAGAATCATGGAAAGAGACATAAAGAAGACCAGAAAGGCCTCTTACCTGACTCCAAAGACCCACTGTCTTCATCTGAGGAGGCAAGACCAGCCTGTGATGACAACACAGCCACAAAACTGTCCTTAAATTCCTTGAAGTTAACCTGTAAATTTGAGAAAAGTGGTCAACACTGCTTTCGACAAGCCACATACATAACACACTAGCCTTTGGAGTTTTCTCAGATGGAAGATCTTATGTTGCCTTCAGCACTGAGGACATTTATTTTTTCAAATATTTACTTAAGGTTTTAAAAATCTGAAGATATAGTAAGGCAATTAAAAGTGCATCATAAGCCCATCACCAAAAAACCCTATTAACAACTCCATAAAAGGAAATTAGATAACAGTTAGAAAACAGTGCAGAAAAGAGGTGTCTGATGACCACAAACATTAACACATAAAGAAATATCCATGCCTTCACTACCCACCAAGAAAGAGAACATGCCAGCACCTAGGCTAGTCCTCCACCAAGGTTCCTTTCCTGATTAAATACCCCGCCCCTACACTGGGGGAAAAAAAAAGCTCTGAACAGTCACACATATGTCCTAAGAGTTTCTCTGGAGTATACGCACCTAAGAATGGGATTGCTGGGTCACAGAATATACATTTATATCCTCTTGGCAAATTGAATCCTTTGTCACTATACAATGCTGACGCTCTAGTTCAGTAATGCTTTTTACCCTAGAGACTAGCTTTCTTATGGAGCTTAAAAGTTTCATATCAACCAGTTTTACCCTCTTCAGGGACAACACAAAACCTGTCTGATAATTTGTGCCTTGGTTATCATTTATTTTAACTCCTTACAAGTTATTTCTGTTTTATATAGCCAATGTTCATTTAGAATTATTCAAATATTTGCCACTCTGTTTTTCCTTTCTTCCTTCATTTCCGACCTGCCTGGGATAGTTTTCCCTCTATTTGAAATAGATCTTTGAGACTTACGTTTTGCTTAAATATGCTGATGCTAAGCTCTTTTAGTGTGATTGTCTGAAATGTTTTCATTTCACTTTCTTTTTTCAGTAAAAACATAATTTATTAAAAGAATATTGGAAATGATCCAGATGTACTTAAAGAAAATGGGTAAATAAACTGTGATGCAGTCAGACAATGAAAGACGACAACAGGGGAAACAAAAACACTGACAGAGACAATACATGGACACTGACCTGCACTCTCTGAATACAGACTGCAGACATGATACTGAGTAAAAGAACCAGAGTATGCACTGAGCATGTGCTGTATATATGTCCACCTGTATGAAGTTCAGAAATAGGCAAACAAATCTCTGCTGTTCTCATCAAGACAGTGGCAACTGTTGGAGCCAGAGGGACCCCAGGGGCACCTGAGGAGGGATGCAGGATGCTGGGGGCCCAGGTGTGCTTGCAATGGATGTTCACTGACCTGCACACTTCCCAACTCTTTTCTCTGCCTGTGCTTCACCTGACGTCACACAGAAAGAAATCAATGCAAGACATACTTCTAGGTCAAAATGTCACCGGTATGAGCTAGAAAAGCAGGCCTGGCTGTAGGTCCAAGCATGCTTCCCACACCTGGCACAGAACTTGAATGAGCACATTTCTACTGCTGCCTCTGAGCACTAAATGCAGCTGTTGGCTGTGGAACGTCTCTGCCTGGGTTATACACTATCAGACTTGAAGGTGGACTGCTTATACGTGTGTGTATCTTCTGGCTCCCCAACTAGCATGTGGTCTCACGGCTGACACACTCTAAATACTCAACAAATGTCTACTGGATGTGGGGGTCTCTATACCCTTCAAAACTGAGCAGAATTCACCTTCTCAAGGAGACATTCTTATACCTTTTAAAAAAAAAAATTTATTTATTTTTGGCTGTGCTGGGTCTTCATTGCTGCAGGCTTTCTCTATTTGTGGCGAGTGGGGACTGCTCTTCCTAGTGCTGTATGGACTGACCATTCTAGTAGCCCTCACTGGAAGGTGGGCGTGAATTTGCTAAACCGCTAGTATAACAATGTCTGAAACTTCTCTCTTTTTTATGATGGTGCATCAATTTCATCAGTTGGATCTATTAATTTATTGTTGTTCAGTCACAAGTCATGTCCAACTTTTTTGCGACCCCATGGACTGCATGCAACACACCAGGCTTCCCCTGTCCCTCATCATTTCCTGGAGTTTGCCCGAGTTCATGTCAATTGATTTGGTGATGCCATCCAACCATCTCATTCTTTGTTGTCCCCTTCTCCTCCCTACCTTCAATCTTTCCCAGCATCAGAGTCTTTTCCAATGAATCAGCTCTTCCCATCAGTGGCCAGAGTATTGGAGCTTCAGCTTCAGCATCAGTCCTTCGGATGAATATTCCAGGTTGATTTCCTTCAGGATTGACTGGTTTGATCTCCTTTTGACTCAAAAATCTTCTCTAGCACCACAATTCAAAACCATCAATTCTTTGGCACTCAGCCTTCTTTATGATCCAACTCTCACATCCATACATGACTGCTGGAAAAACCACCGCTTTGACTATATGGACCTTAACTAATCTTACATTGAAAAGGCTATGTCCAGACTTTTGCCATGTGGATCAATACTAGAAAGAATACTCTTGCACAGCTTTCATTTTTACATTCCTAGCTTCTAGATGTTGCCTAGCACATAATAAGTGCTCAAAATTACTTGTTGAGGGACTCCCCTGATAGTCCAGTGGCTAAGATTCCAAGCTCCCAATGCAGGGGACCCAGCTCCACTGCTGGTCAGGGAACTAGCTCTCACATGCCGCAGCTAAGAGTTAGAATGCCCCAGCTAAAGATCCCATGTGTCACAGGGAAGACTGGTGCTAAATAAATAAATAAATAAATATTAAAAAAAAAACAAAAAACAAAAAACTTGTTGACTACATGGGAGCAGAATGAAATGGCCATTTTGTTTGATCCAATCTCAGATTTCTTTTGCGTTTTTGATAATACTTACCAGCTTTCTTCTGAGCCATCAAACAGGAGGGGATTTGGGAATTATCTGGTGGTTCAGTGGCTAGGACTCTGCACTTTCACAGCCAAGATACCAGGTTCAATCCCTGGTTGGGGAACTTAGATCCCACAAGCTGTGTAGCATTACAAAAAAAAAAAAAAAACCAGGAGGGAATCTGATGGCTGAGTGTGCTACTATTTTATTTGATACCATTTGAGTGTGTTTCTGTGTCCTCTCCCATCACAGCTCACAAAAGGACAAAGGGCCAGGATAAAACACATCAAGGAAACCAGATAACCTGTTTATGCTGTTTTAACCAGTGTTGATTTTCACAAATGGACCTTTTACTCACCTAGCCCTCGAATACAATTCTAGGTGATAACAAGAGGGGCTATGACATGAACGCTCAAAATCACACCCGATTTTTTTTTTTCTGGCCACACCACGCATGGCATTGGCATCTGAGTTCTCCAGCCAGGGATGGAACAAGCTCCCCCTGCAGTGGAAGCATGGAGTCTTAACCACTGGACCACGAGGGGAGCTGCCACCCCCAAGTCTGAAGCCCATGAAGAAAAAGCAGTAGAGGGAAAGGGACCGAGCCGGGCGGGGCGGGTGTGAGGCAGGGCCCTCCTCGCCCCAGGAGCAGCCCTGCCGGCAGCACCGGCCACACGGGCTCTGGGGGAAGCAACAGGAGGCAGACGCACCTCGACGCTCCCCGGGGCCAGCAGGGAGGGGTTTGAGGTGGCTCTTCATTTGTTTCTGCCCAGGCACCAACTCAGGAATCTTTCCAGGCTAGATTTTTTTTCTCATTCAAAATGAGAGCAGTTTTATTGAGTTCTGTGGGGGGGAACACTCTTCCTTCTAAGGTAAGATGACCAACACAACTATAGGCACTGTTTTTATGTTTCTGGTTTTGGTTTGTTTTGCAGTTTATGGAATCTTAATTTCCAAATCAGGGTTGAACCCGGGCCCCTGGCAGTGAAAGCCCAGATCCTTAACGACTGGCCCACCAGGGGATTCCCAGGCACTGTTTTAAATGAACACGTGTACCTCCCTGGTGGTCTAGTGGTTAAGAATCCGCTGCCAATGGAAGGGACATGGGGTTCAATCCCTGGTCTGGGTAGATCCCTCAGGCTGCGGAGCAACTAACCCCAAGCACCACAACTGCTGAGCTGACACTCTCGAGCCGGGGCTCTGCAACCGGAGAAGCCACTGCAATGAGAAACGAAGAACGGCCCCCACTCCCTGCAACTGGAGAAAGCCTGTAGGCAGGAACGACAGAGAGCAGCCAAAAAAAAATTCATTAATTAAAAACATAAAATGAATATGTTACATCTGGACACATTTAAGAAACAGGAACAGTAAGAAGCTTCTCAATGTTCCCGTTAGGAAACCAAGGCCTGGTCCAGGCTCCAGATGACCTTTCCAGGCGACCTTGAACTTCCTAGAGAAAAGAACTCCATGCACACTTTCTTCCTGTCTGGGACAGATACACTCAGAGGGCACCACTGAAGGCAGGGAGCCTTTGGTTCCTGCAACAGCAATGGGCGATGTTTTGTCCAGGTGCTGGATGAATTTCACGCTGGGCAATTTTATGAGACAATCTGCCTTCGAGGTACTTTGAACCTGCCTCTGAATGACCCAGCATGTGAGCTGCACACAGATCTCTGTTTTGTGAACCATCCATACCAACCTTCCACTCCCTGGACAAATCAGCCAAACATCCTTCTGGAAAAGTGGAACAAAAACTAATCTGTGGAAGTCACTTTGCTTAAAAAAGGGCAATCTTAAGAAACCTCTTTCTACAACACAGGAGTTCCATAAAAGGAAAAACAGCATCCCATTTCCTCCTAACTTTCCTTTGATGAGTATCTCAAGTCAACTGGTGTTTCTCAGACGTCCACGGCTGTCACCATAGGCTCTCTACGCTTTTCTCTGCAAGAATGAAGTCCAGTACCCACCCTGGCGAACTGGTTGTTTCCAAGAAGTGTGTGCAGAAGGACAGGCAGCTGTTTTTCCAGACGGAGTTTCAGGCAGAGCTGGGTCAGCTCCTCCCGGTCCAGGAAGCCTGTCCCTGTGGTGTCACAGCTGCTGTAGATGTCTCTAAGTTGCGAAACATAGTGGTTCTCTTCCTCTTTGTCCATCCCATCGCAGGCCGCATGCAGGACAGGAAGACGACGTGCCGTCAGACTGACCCTCCACTGTCCTGAGGTGTCGGGCAGTGTGGTCCAGGGCAGGGTAGGAGCTGGGGTGCGGGCACCAGGGTCCTCTCAGGGTACGTGAGGCTGGAGGAAGTCAGGTGAGGCTAGAAATGTGTTCACAGGGAGCCCGTCCTCCTTTACTGGCTTGAAAAACCAGAATTACTTTGTTCTGTAAAAAAAAAAAAAAAAAAGTACCTATTACAGAATAATCAGAAAAAAAAAGAGGTAAGTATAAAGAGGGCCAAAGTCATCCAAAATTTCATCACCTAAAAAAATATCATTATTACTGTTTTGGCAAACATTCACTCTGTTTTTTTCTCTATGCACTTACACACAGGACCTGCTAGATGCCTGGCACTCCTGCCCTAGGATTCCAGTCTTGGGCAGAACTCAGGTGTGGGGCTGGAGGTCAGAGGGCACCGAAGGCCCTCTCAAGAGCAGTGACAAGCCAGCCCCATCCTGAGAGAACTTGCTGGACTGTAGCCCCCTCCCAATTCCACTCAAGGGCTGATTCAGGGGCGAGGGCCCCCCCACCCTTAGCCCACTGTCACCCTGGTCATGCCAGTTTTGCCCATCACAGTTGAGTCCTGGCCATTGAGAAACACTTCTTTCCTCAGGAAACTGAGACCCTGACCCAACAGAGCAGGTGCCTTGTCTTCGGCCATCCAGGTATATGCCATCAATGTGATTCAGACCAGCATTCTACAGGTCAGGCACAAAAGATCTTTCAGGTGCCCTTTGCTAGGACACTTCCTAACCTCCATCCAAGATAAGGGCCAGACCGGCCGGTGTCATAGCCCTGCTCCCTGGCCACCGGGGTGGGGGCCTGTGAAGGGGAACACCCCTCGTCCCTCCACGCCCCCGCGGCGTGCTGTGCCCTCAAGGGACCGAGCGTGGGCGATCGACTGTCCTTGCCGCGGGCCAGGAGGGTCAGCTGGGTCCCTGGTGATTGCCTCCTCGCTTCCTCGCTTCGTGGGTTGCTGTTGCCCCAGCTCCTTAGGCTCCCCAGGTGACACTAGTGGTAAAGAATCAGCCTGCCAATGCAGGAGATATAATTATGAGGTGTGTGTTGGATCCATGGGTTGGGAAGATCCCCTGGAGAAGGAAATGGCTACCCACTCCAGCATTCTTGCCTGGAGAACCCCCATGGGCAGAGGAGCCTGGCATGTTACATGCAATCCAAGGAGTCGCAAAGAGTCGGACACAACTGAAGTGACTTAAGCACAGCACAATACTGCTTTCAAAACGCTGGGGAAAATAATGGGAGAAAGGAGTCGCTGCTTCTGGTCACGGGAGCCCTCCTTCCGCCCCAGGATGGGGGTCTTTCTGCAGCCAAGATTCCACATGGCAAACCTCAGCGCTGAGATGGGCCAAGAAGTTTTGGAAAAACTGAAAGGATGCCTCCACCGGGGACATACGCCGGGGCTCAGGTCTGTACCACAACCACACTGATGCCTCTGGCCTCCCCAGGACTCAAGAGTCCCAGAAAAGGGCTGGACAAGTCACTGGACACTCTAAACACCTCGGAACTATGACATCTCTTCTAGTATGCTCATCACACCATGACTGACAGCAGAATCACCATGCTGCACGGGTCCCCAGGTTCCCAGCTGCTCAAATCCTATTTCCAGAAATGTTTCCCCTCCCTCCCAATGGGGAAAAGGGATCAACCTAAACACAACAAGAAGGTGAGAAGGAGAAGGGCTTTAACCCTGTCCCTCCCAGCAGGGAGCCAGGAGTATATCACTCCGACTCTGTTCCGACTCCTGAGCTTGTGTATGGGGGCAGAGAACACTGTCCCCTAGAACCCCCACGCAGGACCCTGGGAGGGAGAAGACAGAGGGGACCTTCAGTGAGGTCCAGTGCCCAGTATTGCCCACCCTTGGCACCCAGGCCTACTCACCCATGAAGCACAGGCCTCACAGCCAAGTGGTCGTTATAAATAATAGAACGTCCAAGGCCCTCTTCAGTTTCTCTCTTCACCCAAACTAAATTATTTAATCCTTTCTGGATTCTACAAATACATAAAGGTTCGCACATGGACACAACCAGAAAGCCCAGCCACATTCAGCGTTCCAGATAAAGAGGAGTCCTTGGCTTATCACAGTTTGATTCTTTTGAAGTTGGAATCTGTAGATTCTCAGTAATTTGAGTGCTATAAAACTTTATTTAAAATTGGAGCATAAACTTTGCTACCATGTGAGGCAAAAACCCTGTTTTCATCCTGGGGAGAAAACCCTGCCCTCAAATAAACTGAATACCGGTTAAGAAACAGTGGTTGACCAGCACTCTGCAGAACCACGCAGCCCTCTGGAGGCCATGAGGGAAGGCCATGCATTTAACTGATGCATAGCGATTTTAAGGAATTTAATCCATGGCCCTGGAAACCTGCTGGGTATCAAGACAGGGAGGGAGAAGAACAAGCACCTAGGTGTGCTGTGTGGACCCAGAACACTGCAACCCAGAACAACTCCAAACAAGCCTGTAAAAGTGTGCTGACCCAGAACAAGCAGCACCAAGATTGCATTCTAGATGGCATGCTCCATATCTGGAGAGATGTTACAACTCTGAATAAATATTGAAGCCCAGCCTTGGGTTCCAGAAGAGCAGGTCTGGGCACCATGTCAAATAGCCTTGGGGTTGGTAATCAACCTTCACACTTCGGCAGTTCTGAGCTTTTAGGATTAATCTTTGTATTAGTTGTTTTCATGGCTTTTTTTTCTTATTTTTCAAAACTTATACTATTTATTTACTTTGCCAAGGTCGGTCCTATCTCAGCGATAAAGCTTGAGAGGCCAGCACTTTTATCAAAAGGATTTTCCAATCCCAACAATATAAAAATAAGTTGATGCATCATTTAATTGGTGATTGATATCGTCTTTGCTCTTCCTACAAAGAGGAAAAGAGACTGGGCAAAATCTTCGCAGTTCCTAAAGATTTTTAAAATTTATTTGGCTTCACCAGGTATTAGATGTGGCATGTGGGAATTTTTAGTTGCAGCATTTGGGATCTAGTTCCCTGACCAGGGATCAAGCTCAGGCATCCTGGAATTGGGAGCAGAGTCTTAGCCACTGGACCACCAGGGAAGTCTCCCTAAAGATTTTTATAATCCATGTACTTAAATTCGTGCTAGGATTGTAGCCATAGACCCAGTGGTAATAAAACATCTACATAATTAGTTGGTTATATCATGAGGTTATCCACATAAGGTTCTACATATAAAAATGAGCTTCTCTATGTGTATCACTATATGTATGCAAATACAGAAAACCTTACTCTTAGTATCAATATCAGCTTCTATCTTAAATTCAACTAGAAAATTCTACCATAAAGAAAGCAATAGTTTCTCTTCTTTACTAAAAATACCCAGTAAGAGTGTAAAAGAAATGACAGAACTGGAATACTACAATTTTGAATCCCTACTGTCACAGCTGATAGGGTACAGATCATCAATGTATGATTAAAAACAGTTGGGGGGGACTTCCCTGGTAGCCAAGTGGTTAAGACTCCTAATGCAGGGGGCACATGCCACATAGCAAGGTAAAAAAAAACTTTAAAAATGAGAAACAGTGGGGAGCGGTGACATCATGCAAAGTGGCAGGAGACGAAACCCCACCAGAGCAAAATAGAGCCATAAAGAGGGGCTGGAAGGAACTATTTGAAACCCTAGAACCAGATCAGACACAGTAAGGTGATGAAAACAGGCTGCTGATCTTCGAAAGAGAGTGGTGAGCAGGAGCCAGTCACCACCCTTGATGCCGTGGAGAACGGAGCCATGAGGACAGTGGCCCAGAGTCCTTTGGCTGGAGCCAGAGCGGGCAATCGGGACCATGTCACCCAAAATCCGGTGTTGTGTGTTTTGCTGGTGACTGAGGGCTTGGAGCAGATTCTGGCCTTGGGGTCAGCTTCCTTGGGCTGCAGTAGCTTCCCTCAGAGCATCTCTGTTACGGCTGTTTAGTCACTCAGTCATGTCCGACTCTTTGTGACCCCATGGACTATAGTCTGCCAGGCTCTTCTGTCCATGGGATTTTAAAGGCAAGACTACTAGAGTGGGTTGCCCAGGGATTGAACCTGTGTCTCCTGCATTGGCAGGCGGGTTCTTTATCACTGAGTCACAAGGGAAGCCCACAGAGTATCCAGGAGAAGGCTAAGGTGAGCAGGAAGACTCCGGGGAAGACCTTCGTCAGGTCACCGACTGACTGCAGACACAGCAGGATGGAAACTCCAGTCACCACGCACAACAAAGAACACACTTTGTAAAAATAACTTAGAAAACTCACAAGGGCAACTGTTCAGTTCAGTTCAGTTCAGTCGCTCAGTCGTGTCCGACTCTTTGCGATCCCATGAATCACAGCATGCCAGGCCTCCCTGTCCATCACCAACTCCCGGAGTTTACTCAAACTCATGTCCATTGAGTCGGTGATGCATCCAGCCATCTCATCCTCTGTCGTCCCCTTCTCCTCCTGCCCCCAATCCCTCCCAGCATCAGGGTCTTTTCCAATGAGTCAACTCATCGCATGAGGTGGCCAAAGTATTGGAGTTTCAGCTTCAGCATCAGTCCTTCCAATGAACACCCAGGACTGATCTCCTTTAGTCCAAGGGAGACTGGATCTCTTTGCAGTCCAAGGGAGACTGGATCTCCTTGCAGTCCAAGGGACTCTCAAGAGTCTTCTCCAACACCACAGTTCAAAAGCATCAATTTTTTGGCGCTCAGCTTTCTTTATAGTCCAACTCTCACATCCACACATGACCACTGGAAAAACCATAGCCTTGACCAGACGGACCTTTGTTGGCAAAGTAATGTCTCTGCTTTTTAATATGCTGTCTAGGTTGGACAACTGTAGTCCTTAACTAATAAAAATCATTAATATCTGAGGTGTGGGAGAATCAGAATGTCCAGATTTCAACAAAAACTTACAGAGCATACGAAGACACACACATAC